CTCCTTGTGTATTAGGTCCACTGTGAAAGTCATCAAGAAGTGGTCTGACATTTGTCTATTCTCAATGTGAACATGTTTCACCAGGTTCTCAGCATCCATAGTGACTATCCAGTCTAATGTATGGAAAGACTTGTGTGTAGCCTCTTGTATGTGCTGCTGTAATCCATGTGATTCCGAAACGTGAAGTATTCTCTTAACAAAGGGCTTAGATGAGTTATCAAAATGCACGTTCATATCCCCAAGAATAAGAACTTTTCCCTTCCTGACACACAATCTATCACAAAGCAAACTAAAATCCCTACAGAAATCCATATTTGTAAGTTTGTTTGCTTTAGAAGGAGGTGGTCTGTATATACAAGCAATACGCACTGATTGTGAATCATGCTTCAGTAACACCTCCATTAGTTCAAATGATTGAAAATCTTCATGACTAACACAAACTGATTCAACGATCAGTTCTTCTTTGTGTAACAATGCAATTCCTCCGCCTAACGAATGAAGCCTTGGAACATGTTTCACTGTGTATCCTACAGGAGTCATTTCCACAATCTGTGTTTCGTCTCCGATGTCATGGAGCCACATTTCCGTAATATCAGCAACGTCAATGTCATCATCAAGAATGCAATCTGAAATCTCCACAGATTTATTCCTGCAAGAACGAGCATTCCACAATCTGAGTTGTAATAATTCTCTGAAAGGTTTAGGGTGAACTTGAATGTTATTGTCAACGTTGATAAATCTATGAACAATGTTGACACTATTTGGTTGTTTAGGATACACATTGAGTATAACTTGAATACGTCTTTGTTTTCTTCGACCACTGCGCTTTCCTCGTTTAGTAGGCTTTGTATCACAGATTCCTGGGGATCTGATATGATGCAACGTCTCAGGACACAGCCTTTGTTTGCGTCTCAGGTTATGTAAGCACTCGCTGGTGTAAGTGTACGTCCATTGTCTGTCTCCCATGCTGATGACTGCAAGCTGAACCTTGTCTCTGATAGCTTGTTCGATGATGAAAGCAGTCAATTTGATTTCAAAATGAACAATGTAAATATGCACGAATAAAACATATTTTACAAATTGTTTCCATTAATACTGGTAGAATTTCTGTGTCCAAACATGTATGTCAATTTTCAGTCGCGTATGAGAGGCATAAAGCATTGAAAAGTGGATAAAGGTGAGAGCACAATAACATGCCGCCTGCAAGGCGCACAGATGTAGCTGTAGGAAGTTGGAGAAGAAGATTGATTTGCGTCTAAAACCACTTGGAACAATGTTTCAGCCATATCACTGTATTTTATGAGTACATAATTCCTAAGTCACACGTTTGTGAACCCCTTAGGCTTGGGTCTAGTACAAACCCTATGATAAAACGAAAGTCGAGAGTTTATGCGTCCTAGACGACTGAACCACCATAGTCCCTTATTTCGTCCTTTGTCTTCTTTTTCTTTACTCAAGTCAATTATAAGACCGTGTTTTCCTTGTCATTTACATGCCAGAAGATGAAAAATGGTATGGCACCATCACCCTTGAAGATAATGTTTCTTCCTTGCAGGATAAACTATTACTCTGATTAATAGCTATGGCAGATCAATCAAAACGAACATTGAGGTTCTTGAACCATCTGATACCATTCTAAATATTGATTGCATGCTAAATACCTTCATTTGGACAGTTGATTTCCATTTTAAATTCTGAACAACCATTCTACCATTTCGGGATACCTAATGATGGCGTGTATTTTCCACGCTCGTGCAGAGTTATTTAGATACCGCCTTTCTACTTAACTTGTAAATGACGCGATGTCCCTAGGAGGCTTTCAGACACATCGTAGCCTGAGGAAGAATAGATTGGATTGTCCATCGTGTATCATTTACAACATCACACTGACATGTATCCATAGTTCTTCATCTGTAATTAATCTCGGATTGTATTAACAGTTGTATATATTTCCTAGTTATGAAAGGTCAAATGGATGAGATGCAAAAAATGGTCGAAAAGCTCACGGGGAAAATACATGACATGGAAGGAAGTGATGGAGAAGCAGGTACGAATTTCTTACCAATCATTCTCATTACATAATTACACGTTTCCAAAAACAACAAAGCAACACAAACATCATCTTAACTGTCATATGTAGATAAATAATCACTTGTCCACTTCCGAATTGAATGTTTGAATCTCGTGTTTTCCTTCACAACTGGCTTCCACAGGAATTGGCCGAGATCAAGCGACTTCAACCACGGGGCGGTGGGGTAGCCTAGTGGTTAAGGCGTTCGCTCGTCCCGCCGAAAACCTAGGTTCGACTCCCGACTTGAGTACAATATGTGAAACCCATTTCTGGTGTTCACCGCTGCGATATTGCTTGAATATTGCTGGATGCGACGTAAAACTAATCTAAACTCACTAACTCCCCTAGGAGTTATTGATGTGAGTCAAGAAAAGACATAGTTGACCCTATCTACAAAGGAGCAAGTGTAGTAACCTAAAATTATTTTAAAGATGAAGACGTAATGCGTGCAGTAGTGTTTTGCGGCTTTCAAGTTCGAGTGGTGATTATTTCTTCACACGCAAGAGTAGACTGACTGCGTATTCGACTCCAGAGGTTTACCATGACATATTATTTCAAGTACACTTGCTCTTCAGTCGCAAGGATTCTTTGTAAGTATCACTAGTACATCTTTCTTGGAATATGAACCATACCAACACCTCGAATACTCTTCATGAAACCCTTTGTGTCTGTAGTCGAATACTGTCGCCTGAGACATTGCCAAACTGCACCCCAAATGAAAATGTATTGGTTGGTTGTTGTTTAACGCCGCACTCAGTAATATTTCAGATATATGGCGGTTGTAAATAATTGAGTCTGGAGCAGACAATTTTGTGATCAACAGCATGACCATCAATCTACGCAAATGAGATACGATGACATGTGTCAACCAAGCCAGTAAACCTGACCACGCGATCCCGTTAGTCACCTCTTATGACAAGCATGGGTTCTAAACATCAATTCTAACCCAGCTCTTCACGGGTAGAAAATCTATTGTCAAGCCTAGCACCAGTATTTTCGATTGCGAATACCATGATACGGTGCATGGATGATTTGTTTCTAGTTTCAGAGGTCCAGTCCGACCTTGCGTCTGTGTCATCCCGACAAGAAGTAAGCGATGAGAAGATTGAGAAAATTCTGAAGAAGATGCAAAATATGGAATCAGATACTGAAGGAGAGGAAGGTGCAAACATAATATTCTCATAGCGTTCTTAGTTCTAGCTTCACAGATCCGACCAGATCAGATCAGCTTATTGTGATTTTCTTTTTCTCGAAGACGAACTTAAACATTGTGTCATTATATTGCATAAGGATATTTGGCAGATAACTGTCTCATCACAATGAAATGACATAAGGATATTTGGCAGATAACTGTCTCATCACAATGAAATGACATAAGGATATTTGGCAGATAAGTGTCTCGTCACAATGATATTACATAAGGATATTTGGCAGATAACTGTCTCATCACAATGAAATGACATAAGGATATTTGGCAGATAAGTGTCTCATCACAATGAAATGACATAAGGATATTTGGCAGATAACTGTCTCATCACAATGATATAACATAAGGAATCTTGGCAGATAACTGTCTCATCACAATAAAATGACATAAGAATACTTGGCAGATAAGTGTCTCATCACAATGAAATTACATAAGGATACTTGGCAGATTACCGTCTCATCACAATGAAATTACATAAGGATACTTGGCAGATAGCTTCCCATCACAATGAAATTGCATGCCCAATCCCTCTATCACTGAAGCTGATCAGATATTCCCTTATTATTGCTGTTTACAAACTGAAAAAAAAATGAGGTTTGTGTTATGCTAATGATTTCATCCGTGTGTCTTTTGATATCAAATAGATACACGCTCCTGGAATAAATAGAGAATCTCACGCGAGTGTCTTTTGATTTCAAGTATATCACCACGAGTTGATAAAGTTACAAATATCCGAGGCTTGCCGACGATATTTTTACTTTTATCAACGAGTGTTGATATATTTGATATCAGAAGACACGAGGGTGAGATTCTATTTATCATAAAAAATCACTCTTCATTAGTTTTCAATAAAAAATGTACATCTCTGAACACAGTACTGCCATTAGATTTGCAGATGTCATAACATTGTGACGTCAACAAGTTCATGACGTCATAGCATTGTCAGGGCATTGTACAAAATCTACTGTCAAAACGATATCTCCTAGGAGATATCGTCTGATCTCACACAAGCGATATCTACTGTGGAACACCGGTACATGTATTTATCGACTTGTACGCGCTCATTTTTAAGGACGATATTTTTTGTATCATTTGAAGTGCTGAACAACTATATTATATCGTAAGGAACATCGGGAAAATATCGAAAACAGCAATGGACATGCGCTACTTAGTTAGTTTCTAAATGCTGTTTCCATAGACCCTTTTACTTTATGACATAGTATTAACATTTCACGTTGTCCATTCTAAAACACATTAATACCATAAACAGTATTTATGCCATAATACATTGATATACATTGATAGCATATACAAGTACCCATGACTTAACATTATGAGGGGCGGTGGGGTAGCCTAGTGGTTAAGGGTTCGCTCGTAACGCCGAAGACCCGGGTTCGATTCCCCACATGGACACAATGTGTGAAGCCTATTTCTGGTGCCCCCCGTCGTGATATTGCTGTAATATTGCTAAAAGCGGCGCAAAAACTAAACTAACTCACTTAAAGTATTATTTTTGAAACTTTACCTCCTACGCTGTGTAATAAATGAGCTAAGTGAGCTTTAGATGGAAAAATGAACATTTCACAAACTTATGACGCAAAATTTGGAAATGTTTCATTCTAAGATGTGTAATATTTGCACTGAACGGGACGGTATGAACATTCTGTTTCGCTCAAAACCCGTTATTAGTGCATTAAACTAAATCATATTTACTCCCTGCAATTTCAGAGATGAAGTCAGAGCTGAAGTCTGTTGGGTTGCGACAAAAGGAAACAGAGAACAAGCTTCTCGACATCTCCACAAAGTTGGACAAAGTCACAAAGGCACTGAATTTAGGTAAACTCGCGTTCTGAAGGTAAGAACCCGGGAAGATCCGGGTTAGAATTGGTCTTCAGTAACCCATGCCTGTCGTAAAAGGCGACCAACGGGATCGGGTGGTCAGGCTCGCTGACTTGGTTCACGCTTGTCACCGTATCCCAGTTGTGTAGATCGATGCTCAAGCTGTTGATCAGTGGATTGTCTGGTCCAGACTCTATTATTTACAGACCGGCGTCATATAACTGAGATATTGCTGAGTGCGGCGTAAAACAAAAAAAACAGTCAATCGTGAAACGGTACCCAGACTTGTCCTGATTCCTGGTTATCAGAGGCGGTTACGTAGCCTAGTGGTTAAAGCAATGTGATCATCACTCCTGAGAACCAAGTTCGATTACCCACATGGGTAACGTATGAAAGCCTAGCTTTGATTATAAATGATTTATGACATATGAGCGTCATTTGCGTCTACCTACTTATTCTGCTTCAAGTGAGTGAGTAAGTTAAAATTTAAAGTGACATCGGCAATATTTCAGCCATATCGTGACTAAAACTAGTTCTAAATTCATAATACATACACATAATATATAAAACCCTGTCAACGGTGGACAGCATAAATACGAGATTATCACAAAATTAATTAAAACTAGCTAGCATACAAGTAGGAGACTATTTTTGGACAATACAATGTAAAAAAGGGGCTATTGATCGCAAACAACAGAAGGAAGATCACCATACTAGGGATCATGGGGACTTACAGTACTTTGCCTACCTCCATGGACCCTAGCTGGATTTATATCATCCCATCAGTCGCTGGCGATTGTAGGCAAATTCAGCCGAAATTTTAAAACAAAAACACTACGAATACAAAGGTTGGTGGAGCTAAATTGACAATGAAAGTTTTGGGACTTACGTACCCTCTCAGGAGGACAATAATTTTACAATGCTTTAACCCACTTTGAGGGTACAGCCACTAACAATTTAAGGTACTAATCTAAATTACCAATCAGTAAAATATATATATCTACAGAACATATTAATCAGAATGCATCAATTAAATCAATAAATCAATTTCTTTAAAAAAAAAAAAATAACTGAATGAAAAATAACAGTGGTAAAGAGATCCTTAACTGTTTTGACATTGAAATGTTTATTTATTTATTTTTAATTTTTTTATGGATTCGTCTTCCAGACATCAGCAATCTGGCCCTTGGCAAACCTGCATACGGATGTAAAGACTTTGACGGACGTTCTAATCCTAACCATGTGGTTGACGGTGACAAGGGCGGAAATCGTATAGCAGGTCAATGCTTTACTTCCCATGCTTCTGTGCCGAAACCTTGGTGGATGGTTGACTTGCAAGGAAACTATGATGTGCACAACGTCACCCTTTACAGACGGACAGATGGTTATGGTAAGTGCTTGATAATGATAGCACTTTTCCTGCATCATCGATACATCTCCCAAGTTTTTCAATCGTAAACTAAACATTTAAATTTCCCTACTTCTTTTGAAGAGTATAGTTAATGAATATTTCACCAGTCGTGGTGGTCTTGGGCATCACTGTTCCAAAAATCTTTGAAATTAGCAACTTTACCATATCGCCCTTCGAGATCGTTGGGGGTCATACTCTCTTCTGTCACACTTCAATACCGCTTTAATGCATTCCCCATTCTTTCATTTGTCTCTTACAAATTTACGATTTTAATTTGTTTACAGAGTATATTTACATATTTTATAATAAAGCATGATCTTGCATTCCCTCGGTATATATTTTCTTCCTGAAGTGAACCCGGAAATAAACATCTGGATGACAAATTGTCATGCTTTACTGTGACTGTTGACTCTGATAGTGTGGTGTTTTGATGCCAGCATACAGATTCCATGACCTGGAAGTCCTAGTGTTTAAAGAAAACCCCATGAATACCAGCACTGCCCAGCCAATGACATGTGCACAAAAGAAAGGACGACTGTCAAGGCCTGAGGTTCTAGTCTGCAACCCTTCGACAACGGGTCGATACGTGATGTTACATTATATACCACCAAACCGTGAATATCTCACCATCTGCGAAGTCGTGGTTCGTGGAAAACTCATCAAAGGTAAAGCAGTAGACAACCTCACCCGAGAAAATAATTACAAACAACTTCACACATGATAATTCAGTGCACAGTCATTTCAATCATGTAAATGTTTTGTTTGGTATTCAAAGTAATATTACAGGTACACGATGGCGGTCTGTAACTAATCTCGTCTAGACCAGGCAATCAAGTGATTCAATTCAGTGACATCGATTTGGGATAATAATAACGGCCTGGTCACACGACCCCATTAGTCGCTTATTGAAACAAACAAAAATACTACACTGTAAGTCCCAAACATTTAAAATAAATTCTTTCACAATAGTTTATATGTTATTTAAAATCATGGCTAGATTGTCTGATATTGCTAGTAGCTGAACTGATAGCGTAAATTCAGCTATAGTCTGTTTGCAGTGAAAACGTACCTATGAATTTCACTTTAAAGAAAAAATTAAATTGAATAAAGTGAAATTAAGATTGCGAATCCTCATAGTTTTACCTTGCTAATTGAACATTTAAATCTCAGAATGTTATTCAACTTAGGGTAAAAGTTGTTTAACAAACGATCATAGTTTTAAATCGTTATTATTGGTTTGCATTACAAGGGGGTATGCACATTAAATGAAACACCAAGAACAAGTAAGCTAACGCTCTTCACGTACCGCACGTGCATTCATTTCATTGTTCCAACTACTGCACTTACCCCCTTGTGATACAAACCAATAATAGCGATTTGAAACTATGATCGTTTATTAAACAACTTGTATCTTGATTTCAATTAAAAATTTGAGGTTTAACTGTTCAATTGGCAAGGTAAAATTATGAGGATCGCAATCTTATTTTCACTTTATTTGATTTACATTTTTGTTTAGAATGAAATTCATCGGTACGTTTTCACTGCAAACAGACTATAGGTCCATGACGAAGCAAATTACTGTAACTTCCCATGGTCCGAATGGCGATCTACCTTCAGTTGCTGGCAATATACAGCCTGTCTTTAAATTATATTGTCTTCAATAGTTAAAATGTTTTAGATTTACGTGTTATTTTTATATTCATATCTATGATATACTAGTTGTTTAACTGTCTTTCGTGGGTAGTTTTTGTTATAATTCAAACTGTATGTATTACGGATTTACAACTTATTTCAGCCACGGTATGGCTGAAATACTGCCGGTGTGACCTATAATCTGAACTAACACACACTCAACAAGCATGGATTGCAAGAGACCAATTGTATCCTGATCTTCACGGGCCTATGCAAAATGACGCTATTCATAAAACAACCATGTTTATGTATTAGTCTGATTTCAGAAGTAAATATTATCCGAATTTACTTTCAGTATAACACCCGACCCGGGCCTAACGACATTTAGGAAAGTGTCACACATTCTCTCTGATATAATAAACAGGTTTATCGATAGATAATAATTATCGTCTTTTCTCTGCTGTTTGTACACGACTGATTCAGTTGTTGGACCACCGGTTGTTATACTTTCCTCAGCAAGAAAGAAACTAGCAAGATGTCTTTCCAAACGGAGTTTTTGGTCACCAGACTGGCAGTGTCACTGTCATTATTTACGTTGTTCATCCTTCCCAACAGTTTCCACTCAACTGGTAACTGAAACTCTACTGAAAGGTATGTTCCCTCACATCTTCGATAATCTCCAGGGTATACGTTGCATCCACGGCTTGGCCCGGTGATTTATTACCTCCCTTTGCTGGCTCCGCATTCTTACAGTAGCCAATCAGCTAAGCAGCCGTTACATCCGAGCTTGTCAGTGTCAACAAAGATAGCGGTCGCAGTCGTAGTCGCGAATGTTTGTCCGCAGTGCCACTCAGATTTTTAGGAAATAATACAGACAAATTGACAGATTTGAAACTTTCAAAAAATACATAAAAGAACTACTTCTACCTCTTTCAGAGTACCTCTGCATCAATTGTGTTGCCAAGTTTAATCGGTTAGATAATTTAAAAAGCGAAAGTGAGTTGTGATTAGTTCGCTTAACTTCCCAGCGTAGACACCTGATTGGATAAAAAGCCAGCCAAGGGAGGTAATAAAATCATCAGGCAAAGCCGTGGATGCATCCAGGGTATAGTGGAGAGTGATCGTAACGTATATCCTGGAGATTATCGAGGATTGTTCCCACAGAGATTTCCTGTTTTCGTCATTTTCTTTGTTTAGATGCTGTTTAAAGCCACACTCAGCAATTTCCAGATGTCTGCGGTCTGTAAATAAGCGAGTCTGAACCAAGCAAACCAGTGATCAGTGAAAGGTCCTGAAGGGTTGTGTGACAAAATTACAGATTATGTTCATGAAGGAAGGCAAAAATGGAGACTATGTTCATAAGTCATGAACGTCAAATTGATACAGTTACTTTCACTTCTGCTAGTTCTCCTAAACCGTGCACTATTAATTTTGATTGGAACGCATCATGCCGTAAGAGGCGAATAAAGGGATCGGGTGGTCAGGCTCACTGACTTGGTAGACACATGCCACAGTTACCCAATTTCATGGACCAATGGTCTGTACTACAGACCGCCGCCATATAGCTTTGATAGTGCAGCGTTAAAGAACAAACAGTCGTCATCAATCTTAATCGATAAGAGGAAATATTGATCAATACATGCCTGCAGTACAGGTTTTAGAAGCTCAACTATTCTCTTATTGAGTGTGTTTGAACAGGGATTCACAGGCAACGTCACTTATCAATCATCTAGAGATGAAAACAAAAGTGTCTAGTATGCCAAGACGTTTTATGCCATAACGTTTCACGTATTCATGAAAGTAACGGAAGATGTCACAATGCTCAACAGACGAAGGTCCCTTATTTTTTTGATTCTCAAGAGATGTGGCACAATACATTATTCTTTTCCTTCAACTTCGTCGTGTCTAAAACAGTGCAGAGAAGCGACGAAGAAATACAACTCTGGCTTTACACGATTGAACATGGAGGCCCCTCGACATCTTCTCAGTGTTGGTGGGAATTGAAAACAGTGCATAAGATCGTTGTGTTTTCTTTGTTTGGAGGACTGGTGTTGTCGAACCAAATGTTTTATTGAAGACAACGAGACATGAGAGATCCCGTCAACTTTCTAACAATGAACGTTCCTTTTCTGTCGAGTAATTCCCTATTTGTTCCAGCTCTAAAACGCTTGATGTCTACATTCCCCATGCTTCCGAAAAATTAGACATGCTCTTTCTTCAATGAGGGATCTTGGTATCTTGTTGTTTAATCACTCTTGTTCAAAACTACAGTAATGCTTTCATTGTGGCAGGTGTAAGGTCATTTCCAAATTTAACGCATTAGTGGGAATTATCCAAGATGCAATAATTTTTGAAATTGTAAGACATGTTTGTTTGGTTTTTTCTGTCTTTTAACGCCGCACTAGATCAGTCTGGATCATACAATCCTGTGATCCACAGCATGAGCATCGATTTACGCAAGTCCGATACGATGACATGTGTCAACCAAGTCAGCGAGTCTGACCACCCGATCCCGTTAGTCGCCTCTTACCAATTCTTACGACAAACAGGGTTGCTCAATTCTAACCCGATATTTATCTGTCCTCAGAACCTTGACAGTTCATAGTTTATATGTAGAGGCTCATTTTGAAACTTTAAATCAGGGTCCTTAGTATGGTAATTTATTTTCGATTGTTAGCAATATGTAGCATGACACTTAATGGTTTGTATATAGTTTTAGATTTACATGCTAGGTTTACATCTATGATGTTCTCGTTGTTTCTACAGTGTTTTTACACTCTGAGTTTATGTGACATGAATCTCGAATTTGTTTTCAGTCACGATGTGGATGTGATACTGCCGATGTGACTAAAAGTCCTAACCTCCTCACTCACTCAGATATGATATTTTTTTATTTCGTGCCGCGTTTGACCATAGCCTCCAAGATGAAGGAATTGATCAACAGTAGTGTTGAAACTTCCGCTATCCTATACAATAGGAGGTCTTGAGCTACGTTTTATGTCATGCGCTGATATGTACAAAAATATACAACTAAACAACTTAATTATCTATTAAGATGAAAGCAGGCCTCAATGGGAATACCTTTGGTCGTGTTTACATGTGTATCTGTAAAATCAATTCTGAAGTAACTCTGTGATGGTGGTGGGGTAGCCTAATGGTTAAAGCTTCCACTCGTCACGCTGAAGTCCCGGGTGCGATTCTCCATATGGAGAGTCCATCTCTGGTGTCCCTCGCCGGGATATTGCCGGAGGACGTATTGCTGAAAGTGGTATGAAATCAAACTCGCTCACAAGCAATACAAAGTGTTAGATTGTCAAGCGTCATGACATGACGTTTGCCCATTTGCTGTTTGCAAGATGGTTGTTATGGCCAAATCATCAACGAAATGTAATGAATATGTCACATTCTATGCCCGACTAATTAGTAGAGTCTTAACCAGACAACCCTGTGATCTCCCTGGGGTGATCTACAACATTCCTCAGATGATAATCAAAAGTCTTATACAGAGAATGTGCGCACAGTGCAATGCCTGTCTGAAAGCTTGATATGGTCAGTTCGAACTTCATCACCTGTAATTTCTGCTACTTTGAGCTGAGTCTCCATGGTTTTTATTTTGTTTTTTGTTTATTTAATTATTTGCATTTTTAAATATCTCTCTCTCTTTCTCTCTCTCTCCTTTCCTCTCACTCTGTGTGTGTGTGTGTGTGTGTGTGTGTGTGTGTGTGAATATCTTAACTGCATTCAGTACAGTTTGTTGAGCAGCATAGGAAACTGTTCAAGAAACAAAATATAGGCATCCACATACTATACTTTCTTTATGGTGTACAAATGGGGATGTTTGGTGAGGGATTTTTGCAGATTACAATTTTTACAAGATGATAACTACATGTAAATTCTTGCTGCCTTTGTCCATGTAGATAGCGATTCTTCATAGACTTAAACATTAAACAAACCCATCCTGTGCTGGATAAAAGACAAATGAATAGAAACCACCAGAGCAAAGCAGGTGATGTCCATGGGGACATTTGGTCGTGTCTGTATATGTAGAATCAATTCTGACAACACTGCATGGTTCTTCGAGTCTGGAGACTTACATGTAGTTCACCATCTGAACGGATCAGTGTTCCATTTGTAGATTGTTTGGACACGCTGAAAAAATTATGCCACTTAACATGGATAGAAAAGGCGTTTTCATCCTGATTCTATTTCTGCGATTTTCGGAAGATAGAATTCAAGCCATTCCAGAGTGCAAGATTGTCAAATACACTCATGTCATGACGTTTGACAATCAGTTGTTTTCAAGATGGTTGTTGTGGACAAAATCATCAGTGAATAGAAATGAATGTGCCACCTTCTGTCTCCAAGAGAAAGCCTGCGTTACCTTTCAAGTGAACTCAGGAGGATCAGTCTGTAGAGGCTACGCAGTCGCCTTTAACGGGAACTCAACAAGTGAATCAGCCCCGGGATATAAGTTGTATTCAAAAGAGAAAGGTAATTTATTTTATCAAATACATACCTTGTGTCAGCCTATCATACATCTTTATGATTTACGTTTGTTGTGATTGAGATGAATGTGATACCTGGCCTCAGTTAATTTTAATTTTTTTACGTAACATACGCGTCAAACAATTACACAGAGTCAACGTCACTATGATACACGTTTGCTTGTTTTAACCTTATTCTGAAACACGTAGACTCCTATAAAATGTCTTTTTTGTGTTTTGTTTTTCTGGTACACGTGCGTGGACTTCAAAACATATTTTTCATATGTTTTGTTTTCGTGATATTTGAAGCATTGATGACATACTGTCTGTGGCAGGATCGCCACTTCGAAACATATTCAGTAACACTGAAACTCTTTTTTAATATGAACAATTACATGGCATGAAACCAACTGTCGGTATTTTTCTTCCACGATTATTGGTAAGACGTAAACAGCTCATAATACGGCGATGCCGTTCATGCAATTAGCCATGTACCTATAAATAACCATTGAAAGATGAAAGATTAAATCCTCGAAGGGACTAATGTAAAATGAGTCTTTCCCTCCCAAGAAACTGTTTTCCTGGGTGCTGAATAACATCTTTGGTATGTGTTGAAAGAAATAGACACATGAGCTTGAAATATTTCAGATTGTGTAATTTTGTGATATTTCCTTGTATAAATAGTATGCCTTATACGGAAATACCATGTCTTCTAAGGTCATGCAAAGTCGGTAGCAACTGTATACAAGGGCGAGTATATTACACATTTCTCTGCTTCTTGGCTTATCTTAAAACTTGGATAATATTCATCTCTGATAGATGCTAACGTATGTGTTCATTCATTCCTGCTGTACATATTTTCATTCTGGCTTCAAAAAGGATTACGAAAAATAACTAAACATCCAACAATGTGCATAGCCTAGACTCATGCCCAGACTTGAGTGAGTGAGTTAATATTTACGTCACGTCGGCAATATTTCAGCCATATCGTGACGAGTGCCCAGACTTGAACTAAAGATGTACTTGTCCAGTTCTGTTCACCAACTGAATCCAGATTCAATGGCATTTGTGTGAAAGTCTATTAGATGTCATATGTAATAGTTTTAGCCAGTATTTTATGCATTTCACGGAACTGTTTAACAAATGGATACTGTCCACATCCCCCAGAAGCCATTACAGTCGGATGCCAATTAATGCCTTTGCCAAGATAATGCCTTTATGTCCGGACCTTGGAACCTTTCTACCATTTCATTATGTTTATCTATTCTTATTCAACATACATAAAGAATGCCTCAATTGATCCATAGTGCGGTGTCAGTTAACAAACTTGGCTTGTGCTCTGGTCAGTGGAAGGCACACGTATCAGGTTGGACAATGTTGCATTACTTCAAGTGATTTATTTGTTCGTGAGATTACCATGTGAGAAATTAGCCTCAAAAATCGATTCTATGTGTTTGACTGCGACCGAGTCTGCGTTTGAGCAAGGCGATGACTCTGATTTACTTTCTGTATGTCTTGATCCAAGACTTCCCAACGGAAATATTGGTTGCCAACTTTCTGTTCTCCTGCAGTCTCTTTGTTAGACTGTCTCGGCGTCGTTCATTTTCTTTGGTTGGAATCTGATTCAGCAGCAGGCCTGCAGTAGGTTACAAGAGATGGAACCGTCTTGTACTAATAAGGTGAATCCTTTGCCATTACATGGACTGGATTGTTTCCAGGACACCATGTCCTGAGGTTTGGTCCGGAAGAAAGACTTAGTGTCACTCGGATTTTTGTGTGTGCTTGACACGTCGCCCATTTTCATTCAATTTGCCAATTCTGCAGCACATACTTAAAAATAGATTGTTATCTCCTAGAAGATAACATACTGGCAGGCTTTCATACTGGTAGGCTTCATATAATGACAGCTCAAACGCTTCCTTACTGGTAGGCAACAGATAATGACAGCTCAAACGCTTCCTTACTGGTAGGCAACACATAATGACAGCTCAAACGCCATCTTACTGGTAGGCAACATATAATGACAGCTCAAACGCTTTCTTACTGGTAGGCAACATATAATGACAGCTCAAACGCTTCCTTACTGGTAGGCAACATATAATGACAGCTCAAACGCTTCCTTACTGGTAGGCTTCATATAATGACAGCTCAAACACTTTCATACTGGTAGGCAGCATATAATGACAGCTCAAACGCTTCCTTACTGGTAGGCAACATATAATGACAGCTCAAACACTTTCATACTGGTAGGCAAAATATAATGACAGCTCAAACACTTTCATACTGGTAGGCAACATATAATGACAGCTCAAACGCTTCCTTACTGGTAGGCAACATATAATGACAGCCCAAACGCTTCCTTACTGGTAGGCAACATATAATGACAGCTCAAACGCTTCCTTACTGGTAGGCTTCATATAATGACAGCTCAAACACTTTCATACTGGTAGGCAACATATAATGACAGCTCAAACGCTTCCTTACTGGTAGGCAACATATAATGACAGCTCAAACGCTTCCTTACTGGTAGGCAACATATAATGACAGCTCAAACGCTTTCTTACTGGTAGGCAACATATAATGACAGCTCAAACACTTCCATACTGGTAGGCAACATATATGGCAACATGACAGCTCAAACGCTTCCTTACTGGTAGGCTTCATATAATGACAGCTCAAACGCTTCCTTACTGGTAGGCTTCATATAATGACAGCTCAAACACTTTCATACTGGTAGGCAACATGTAATGACAGCTCAAACGCTTCCTTACTGGTAGGCAACATATAATGACAGCTCAAACGCTTCCTTACTGGTAGGCTTCATATAATGACAGCTCAAACACTTTCATACTGGTAGGCAACATATAATGACAGCTCAAACGCTTCCTTTCCTTACTGGTAGGCTTCATATAATGACAGCTCAAACGCTTCCTTACTGGTAGGCAACATATAATGACAGCTCAAACGCTTCCTTACTGGTAGGCAACATATAATGACAGCTCAAACGCTTCCTTACTGGTAGGCAACATATAATGACAGCTCAAACGCTTCCTTACTGGTAGGCAACATATAATGACAGCTCAAACGCTTCCTTACTGGTAGGCAACATATAATGACAGCTCAAACGCTTCCTTACTGGTAGGCTTCATATAATGACAGCTCAAACACTTTCATACTGGTAGGCAACATATAATGACAGCTCAAACGCTTCCTTACTGGTAGGCAACATATAATGACAGCTCAAACGCTATCTTACTGGTAGGCAACATGTAATGACAGCTCAAACACTTTCATACTGGTAGGCAAAATATAATGACAGCTCAAACACTTTCATACTGGTAGGCAACATATAATGACAGCTCAAACGCTTCCTTACTGGTAGGCAACATATAATGACAGCTCAAACGCTTCCTACTGGTGGTAGGCTGGTGACAGCTCAAACGCTTCATATGGTGACAACATCTCAAACACTTTCATACTGGTAGGCAACATATAATGACAGCTCAAACGCTTCCTTACTGGTAGGCAACATATAATGACAGCTCAAACGCTTCCTTACTGGTAGGCTTCATATAATGACAGCTCAAACACTTTCATACTGGTAGGCAACATATAATGACAGCTCAAACGCTTCCTTACTGGTAGGCAACATATAATGACAGCTCAAACGCTTCCTTACTGGTAGGCTTCATATAATGACAGCTCAAACGCTTCCTTACTGGTAGGCAACATATAATGACAGCTCAAACGCTTCCTTACTGGTAGGCAACATATAATGACAGCTCAAACGCTTCCTTACTGGTAGGCAACATATAATGACAGCTCAAACGCTTCCTTACTGGTAGGCAACATATAATGACAGCTCAAACGCTTCCTTACTGGTAGGCAACATATAATGACAGCTCAAACGCTTCCTTACTGGTAGGCTTCATATAATGACAGCTCAAACACTTTCATACTGGTAGGCAGCATATAAAGACAGCTCAAACGCTTCCTTACTGGTAAGCAACATATAATGACAGCTCAAACGCTATCTTACTGGAAGGCAACATGTAATGACAGCTCAAACACTTTCATACTGGTAGGCAACATATAATGACAGCTCAAACGTTTCCTTACTGGTAGGCTTCATATAATGACAGCTCAAACGCTTTCATACTGGTAGGCAACATGTAATGACAGCTCAAACGCTTCCTTACTGGTAGGCAACATATAATGACAGCTCAAACGCTTCCTTACTGGTAGGCTTCATATAATGACAGCTCAAACACTTTCATACTGGTAGGCAACATATAATGACAGCTCAAACGCTTCCTTACTGGTAAGCAACATATAATGACAGCTCAAACGCTTTCTTACTGGTAGGTAACACAATGACCTTCATGAAACAAAAGCAGGACTTTCCTTACGCTGTCCTGTCATTGAACATATTCTTGTGTTTAACACTACAGCAACATTATGACCTTTCATGTTATGTTAATATCAGGTCCAAGGTTTGCAACATCTGTTACGGTAAAGAGATCTGGTTGGTGGAAGCAAGGGGACACGGATGAGCATAAATAATTGACAGAATGGCACATTTAGTTCATTATCAGTTTATCTACTCAGGCATAACAAAGCAATAAAAATAATATACTATGCCAAGTGGTGTATATGATTATACAACATGTTGGGAATTAGTTCATATGGCCTCGATTTCTGGAAACAACCTTAAGTCTGAGTTTTGACTGAATTTAGAGTTTTTACTCACTTTTGAATAAACGCAGGAAAATTAACTGAATTCCCAGAATGAACTGAAATCGATATTAAACTCAAACTGAATAGACAATTTGCGTTTATCTGTAGATTACGTAAGTTGTTTGGGCTTTTATATTTTAAAAATTAATGCAGTTGAGTAAAAACTTAGGTTTGTGTCGAGAAATCGAGCCGACTGATGGGTTTTGCCTCAGTGTTTTCAGTAATCTTGACTCCTATTCTTTTTATATACTCTTACTATTTTTCAACTTCTTTTAAGACAATATTTTAATGAGGTTACTCTTTTTAACCTTTATATCTTACGCGATGCAATAGATATTGGTTCATATTTTTAAATACATTCAATGTTGATTTCATTTTAATTTGTTTTCAAGGCTTTATTGGATCTTCGTGTCAGAACAACGCAGACTGTTACGTGGCAAGTTCCGTCTGTGTCAACTCAGAGTGCATGTGTGACCCTGGACTGGCATTCTCACCTCAACAAAAGACTTGTGTTTCGAGTATGCATGAAATAATATTTCTTCTAATTTGTAAAGGATTTGCTTTAAGTGTGTTTGGAAATCCCTTTTATTTCAATTCCGTAAATACTGACCTGGTGCATGTACCATATTTCTTGCTGAGTTTTCTGTGTAAAGACCATAATCGGGTTTGACGACTGTCTTGTGCAGAAGAATCAAACTATTGGGGAGTGAACAAAAGTTATTGGCGGGCTTCTGTTCAATGTGGAAACTATTCTGTCACATATAAAAAGTCTTTAGGATAAGAAATACAACAAATTATAATTAGATCTTCAGTATATATGCTGAAATATTGTGTGATAGTTTAGTGTAGCATCTCTGTTGTTATTTTACGAGAGATTTTTTGTTGTTGTCTCGTCCCGTGACAAGATACCTGTAATGTGTCCAGCATGAATACACCTGTTAAAACCCTTTTGTAATATGGGCAATATGTCTGTCTGTCTGACTATTCTGTCATCATCAACCTTCAACTAGTCTTTAATTGACATTCATCTGACTTCATTTTGAGTACACTTACACTAAGCATCGTCCACATCATGTTACAGAAATAAACAACTTAGCTAATTTATTTGCAGCATGTACGGAGTACGGTCCTCATTACACTACAATACGTGGCTACTTTATAGCCCACAACAACATGGCTACCTACACCGGGGTGACTGAACAACAGTGCATGGACCACTGCACCAATCATGTCGCCTTTGTCTGCAGGACAGCTGATAGGCGTGCCTCTGACGGGAGATGTGACCTCACCACCCAAACTCTCCTGACTGTTGCCGCATCAGACTACAGAATAGAAACGGATCGTACAATTATGGCCCAGTTTTCCAGAGATTGCAAAGCCTGATCCGACCATGTTAAACTACTCTAAATTCCATTTCCGATTGTTTACTTGAAACCATTAATCAGAAGCTACACTTTGTTGTTGACCATATACCATACACTGTAAATAAGTTAAGTTTGAAACAATGGAGGCGATGGGATAGCCTAGTAGTAAAGGCGTTCGCTCATCACGCTGAAAACCCGGGTTTGACTCCCCACCTGGGTACAATGTGTGAAGACCATTTCTACAATTTTGCTAAATGTTGCGTAAAACCAAACCCACTCACTCACTCCAAACAAACATCGCAATGCTATACAAATAATTGCTTTTGATGAGGAGAACGTGCAGGGAAAAATATTGTAATTAGTTCAGTTATGGAATACATATAAAACATCTGCTATGGAGTTACATACCAGATTGCTGAAACCCAAGCTGACAACACGTGGTCACGCATCTTTGTTACCAGGGGCGACGGGGTAGCCTAGTGGTTAATGTGTTCGCTCATCTTGTTAAGATCAGGGTTCGATTCTATATATTTTTAGACTGTGTGAAGCCCATTTCTGGTGTACACCGGCGTGATTTTGCTGGAATATCACTAAATGCTACGTAAAACTAAGCTCACTCTCTCACTCTTTGTTACCAATCACAAATATGTACAATGAATAAGTAATTATGCAGAAAACAAGGACCCGCGGACCCAACCCTGTGTTGGGCTGATCTGACCAGACCCAACCGGCGGCAAGATCCTGATCTCCTGGTAATTTTTTCACAGACAGAACAGTAATCAGTCGTTTTGTTGTACCGAAAGTCACTTATGTCAGTCAGTTTATACAACCCTTCACCCTATCTCTGTATCTTTACATTAACCTAGAACTGTAAGTCGTTAGTACCAGGCGTCTTCGTGTTTTGTAACAGTAAGTCAATACTCATCACTTGACAGGTTAACGCTGACAGCGTGACGAGTCAATATTCGAGGACAACTTGGGTCATGTCATGTGGGTTGAAATGGATAGCTGGATTAGCGAATTGTTTAATTTGTTCATTGTTTTATTCTTGCCGATCTAAGATTTAAGAAGTAATATACCGAAATGGAATGTACTACTTAACTGTAAACCAGCTGTGAACGAATTTATTTCATTTGATCAAATTCAATGTCACTTGATTATTTCTGTGTCTTAGTGTTGATATGTCACAAACACACAAACATCGATTATGTAATCAATGCTTTGATATTGTTGCGGAATTAAGATAAGCCTTGGTTTGTTTCCCAATCCTGTTCATTATTCATATAAATGAAATATGTTTAAACCAGTAAATATCCTTGTGTTAAGCAGTTCACTATATTTACCTTCCCATACGTGCACGTGTATGTGTGTGTTTTGTTTGGTCTGCTTCTGCGTGAGTGGAGTGCTCCAGTTTGGACAGAATAGATAGGTGTTGTACCGGAATCGAACCGGATCCTCGGCGTGACGAACGAACACTTTAACCACTAGGCTACCCCGCCGCCCTTCACCACTTGGCATTGTACCACGCACAAAAACCTGATATATTCGGTATCACAAAATAGATTCGTAATGCTTATATACACGGTTCTGTATGTGATATGTTTTCTATACCATAGGTATTTCTTACATGGGACTGAAAATTAGCTATCATGACAGAAGTAATGTTTATGTCGATGATTAGATTGCTGGGTGTTGTACACAGTATGAATTACTTCCACTGGTTGAACTGGTTTTGTTTAATCCGTTCAAATCCAGAAAAAGAAGCCTTTTGTTAGAGACATGGTATGCACTAACCCTTTACGGTACTGTTTATGTATTTAACGAGCGCAGTATTGTGAATCTTACTTACGTTGAATGGCCTGGAGCTTAAGGGATGGTGCGAATTCCACAGGGGAGTGTGGCTGGAGTACCTTTAGTCCTCAAGGAGAAATATCAGGTTGAACTCTTGTTCCGAGACGCGGAATTAGTGAAGATTGATTTGTGTAATGATCACGCAGATATACATTAACCCTAGTCGGGTGCACATTCTCAAAGTTATCCTGAAAACAAATACTGACACATACGGCTCTTTGTATTTCTGGCTGAGCCACTAGAGAGACTCCAGTATGCAAGGGTGCAGTAGTTGTTCGAGATATTCCACTTTAGTCGGTGTTGGGGGGCTTTGGCACTTTGTGAAAAACCAAACTGGTGGCGGGTTTCAGACGATCAGCAAGATCTCCTGTTAACGTTTGGAAAATATCTACCTTAGATATCTACGAGTTCCATATAAATATTCTCTTCTGTGTATTTTACTCGAGCAACATCAATTCAGGACGTGGCTGGGTTGAGAATAATTTACCAGAGGAGCGTTAAAACCAGCGTCAATGGCAACCTGCCCGGTGTATTAACATTGTTTGCTGAAATGACACGTTTCATGCCTCTAGGGATGACGGATATCATGTGTTCAAGGCAGACAAAGAAGAGATGAAGCTTTTTCGTGCAATTCTGCTCATATCTAGGTATACTGTTTTATTGAGTCGAAGCATGTACTTGGAACAGAATGAAGATAGTTACAGTGAAGCTCTTACGTCTACGATTTAATGAAACAGGTTTGGAAAGATATTCTGCTACCTTTCATCCCGGCAATCAGAACTTGCCTGACCGTGGTCAGTTTGGAAAGGTGCGACCTTTGATGCCATGATAAATGGACGCTCACTGATTCTGATGTTCACCATTTATCTGTAAACGAATCAGTAGTACCTTACTATGGCCGCCTCTCTGCTAAACGGTTCGTAGGAGGAAAGATTGTTCTATTTGAATTCACGTTCAGGGTTCTCGCTACGCCCTCGGGATATTCTGTGCAGTTTGAGCCACATCAAGCCGAAGGTATCACGAGTGATCCAGATCTAGGACTAGGAGGTTCTGTAGTTGTTAACCGCTTGGCTTTCCTTGCCATCTTATACTTGGTCATTTCTTCACCTCTTTTAAACTACTGGATTATCTTTCTGCAAAGGGTGTTGCAGGAACTGGCCCCGACTTCTCGAAACAAACAAGTGTTTACTAAAATTTCAAACTGAAATTTCAAACATTCCTCTGCATTCAACTGCATTTTTGCAATAAAAAGGCCCAAACAACTTACGAAATCTTTCCACCAAACTCAAATTGTCTTCTAAATTTGAGTTGATATCGATTTCAGTTCTTTCTTGGAAATGAATTTAACAGCGTTTTCTCAAAGAGTAAAAACTCTAACTTAAGTCAAAACTCAGACTTAAGTTTGTTTCGAGAAATCGGGGCCTGGTTCAATGCTGACACATACATTTTTAAAATGTCCAGTCATGAGCCCTAAGGAAATGAAGAAAGTGCCACGAGAAGCTATCGACTATGCCTTTGTTAGGCACCAGATTGTAATCTGGAATGACGATATTTTAGGCAAGGTTCTGGTCTGCTATTACCGACAACCAAATTTCACTGGACACTGTCTTCCCCCCAGAAGCATTCCACCCACTGATGTCCAGGGTCACGCTATGAGGGGGAGATGCTTACACAGCGAAAGTGTACACACTGCAGAAAAGACCACGCGTAAACATGCAAGTAATGTGGTATTGTGGTTTTCAATGCACTGCTATGAAGCTTTCCATTTCTACTCGTGAAGGTCCGGGTTAGAATGAACCTTCAGTAGCCCATGTTCGTCGTAAGAGGGGTCGGGTGGTCAGGCTCGCTGGCGTGGTTGACACATGTCATCGGTTCCCAATTGCGCAGATCGATGCTCATGCTGTTAATCACTTGATTGTCTGGTCCAGACTCGATTATATACAGACGGCCACCATATAGCTGGAATATTGCCTAGTGCGGAACTCACTCACTCACTTTCCATTTCTTGGCCGTGTATGGACAGAAATCTTCGCAACACATTCTTTTAGTCAGTTTCTGAAGATGAAGATGTTGCTTATGGAAACTTGACACGAGTATCTGATTATATCAGATATTATCAGACGTTCCCTCTCAATGAAATAACAAAAGTATTTGTTGTTTGTGTCAAATGTATTATTATCATTATGTGCCTTACTGTCACAGTGATCATCTGGGAAATTGTTTGAGACTTTTGAAATGAATAAATGAAATACCCATTAAATTGATTTTCATGTTGATTTTAAATGTTTGATAAAATCTACCACAAAATGTCTGAAATTGAATTTCGTATTATGTATGTATTTTAAGAGGGGGAGTTATTATGAATATGCTTTTCTTTAAAAATGTACTTGAAACTTGGGGACATTCGCCCCTTGCATTCGCAGAGACAAAGCACAGACATATTTTGCAATTTCTCAAAACATATGCATCATTCTACATTAAAAACAACCCTCAGTTAAGCTCATAATAACCAATAAACTACATTTGAAAATATGCAATTAGTTTGGGAATTAATGCGTTAAGAGTATTAAACGCAGTGTAAAAAGTTTTGGATCCAATGACATTGGTGTTGTCTGAACATACAGAGTGTGAAATCTTCCAAATTGCTTCTTAGCTGATTATATTTTGCTGATTCCGTTACTTCAGATGCCTCTAATTTTAATTGAGGCACGATCCAGCAGTGGTCTGACCAATTGCCACGGGAGAGAAGAAAGCAATCGAAAAGGAGACTATTTTCGTGCTCAATGTGAGCAGCAGAAATAAAAGGTTTAATTCTCATTCCTAGATTGCGGCAAAATAGAAGATTTCTTATTGCACAGATCTTCAGGAAGAGAATTTAAAAAAATAGTTGTATGAAGGGCTGGGCAAGATGTATTGACGGGAAAGATAGCTATATATGTGCATGTGAAATACCAATAGTGATATGATAACAAGGGAAGTCGGTAGTTAATTTGCGCTAAATGGGTAAGGTGGATGGACCAATGGAAGCCAGGGAATATTAATCCAAGCATGGATGATGCGATCACAATGGTGGCATGTAACAAGGTAAATCATTATAAACAAATGAGAGGCATGAATATATCCAGGCCAAACTAGTGAATAACACAAATACAAGGGAAGCCAACAGTGATGATTATATTAACAAGTCATGTATATCCCATGGCCATGGTTGATCCACTGATGTCTGTGGCCTCTTGTAGTGTTTCTTCTTGTTGGTGGTGGTCAATAGGACTTTAGTGGCTTCCCACATGATGGGGATCCAATCTGTCGTCTCAGCAGCAGCAAAACCCTCCTGCACGCCAATGACAGAGGCACCAGCGACTCGTGTCCCTACCCCAGAGTATGTGTATACTAGATTCCCTGCAATGGTAGCGACACATACAACGATGTAACCCTCAGACCCCTCAACACAAGACTCAAAAAGACCTAAACGTCAGTCAACACACTCGACCTCATATTCGCCATTTCCGAACACATCAACAAGAAGACATTTTTTAATGCTCAGAATATACTAGTTTAAGGCTGCTTTTGCAAGTTGCAGCATAGACGATGTAGCCATAATCGAGTTACCGAAAAATACTCGATACATGTGAAAAAGGGTGGACTAGTCCCCTGCCAAGATGGAAAACATTTTTCAATAAATTCAGTTGATTTAGGCATGCCATTTTTGAATATTTAATGTCGGTCAGAGATATTAAACGCTGATTAAAGAATTATATCCTTGAATTCGCCTCCGTGTACCACTTTAGTTTTGGATTTAAAAAGATGTATATCCATTTTCTGAACACCTTTTGAAGCTCGATAGCGAAGAGAAAACAGCAAAACAAACATGACCATAATAAACGGTATTGTCAACATCATTATCTGCTAAAGCCTTCATAACAATACAATGAACAATTTATAAATGTGGCTTGTAATGTCCACATGGGGTACATAAAGCATTTGTTTCATTACAAGTCCAAATGGTCAGCTCGGCAGAACTTGATCATAGGTGGTCTTATGCGTCACTGCATTTGTCAGTCACCTGATGACGGCACATGGGATGTATCGCCATTCTTCCTGGTGTCCCAGGATTCAATTAGTTCATCCGGGATTGGGAGGTTGTTGTTGCCGTCAGCACATGATCTCCCGAAGGTTCTCTATGGGATTACGTTCTGCGGGTAACGTGTGAACGTTGTTGCCGTCTGCACATGATCTCCCGAAGGTTCTCTATGGGATTACGTTCTGCGGGTAACGTGTGAACGTTGTTGCCGTCTGCACATGATCTCCCGAAGGTTCTCTATGGGATTACGTTCTGCGGGTAACGTGTGAACGTTGTTGCCGTCTGCACATGATCTCCCGAAGGTTCTCTATGGGATTACGTTCTGCGGGTAAGGGTCACGTGTGAACGTTGTTGACGTTAAGGAAGTGTTGCACGAAGTTAGCAGTATGAGGCCTCCGAAAACCATTTTATGGGTCAGTTTCACCAATATAAAATTCCAAATGTATAGCCTCACACTAAGTTCTGAATGTGTCTCAGTCCGTCTTAGTAAATTTCCATTTAGAAGAAAGTGGGTCAGCCAAAGTACTCGGGAACCATGGAAATTCATTAATAAAGAAGAAGATATCAAATAGATCGGTCTATGACAGAGTATGTTCCTGTTGCTGGATGTATATGTATGTTTCTACCATCGTTACACAAACATAAGTTGTGTTTCTGGAGCAATTCTTTAAGCACTTTACCTTTGCCATTGTGACTTGCTGTACCCCACAATTACGTCCCCAACAAACAAGAAAAGGTTCGGAAGCTGATCAACAAGGTTATCACATTTTGAACCAGGGAAATCACATAGTCAACCATGTGCCAATCCAGCTAAAAGAGATAACGCGTGTGATACTTTATACACGTTTTGAACCAGGTAAAAACACAGTCAGTGCAGACAAGTTTAATGAACAACAGTCCGTTGTCATGGGCCACACCCTGCGACAAAGTAGCATGTGAACAATAATCTAACCCAAGGAGAAACAGTGATATATTACGAAATTAAAGTCATTGTACAAAAACACCATCTCTCAACAGGGTGCGATCGAAGAAAATCAACATTGTCTTATGCTCTCAGTAAGGGTGTGTATGGATTCGAGTGATTCACTCTTCAGTAGGGGCGGCGGGGTAACCTAATGGTTAAAGCGTCCGCTCTTCACACTGAAGACCCAGGTTCGATTACCCACAAGGGCACAATGTGTGAAGCCCATTTCTGGCGTTCCCCGTCGTGATATTGTTGGAAAATTGCTAAAAGAGGCGTAAAACTAAACTCACCCATTCACTCTTCAGTAAAAGCATTTTCCACTTTACATGCCGTCCCCTGATTGACAAGGCGTCATGAGAATGTCCCCTGCAGCTCATTCCAGATGTGCTCATTGGGTTTGATCGAGGACAAGTGACTAGTGCTTGTCCACATAACGGACACCGGTGGACATCAACGAACATGGCACAATGAAGTCGAGCGTTACCATCAACATGGATGCAGTGAAGTCCGATACCATCACTGTAGTTCACACCTGTAGCGGTTCTTTCTAATTCGACTAATCCTGCCAGAAATCACGAATGAGCCTCTAACTAATGATCATGACCATGGAGTGGTCAACGATGGAATCCTGAAATCTTTCTCCCAGCCTTATCCACACTCGTGCACGACGAGTTTTGCCCCTTATGTCCTGGAAAAAACTTTAACGCATCTGATGTTTCTGGGTGTGTTTGATAATAATAATAATAATAATAATAATAATAATAATAACAATAATAATAATAATATAATGAGAAGTCTTATAATGCGCTAATCTCCACGCAACAAAGCATGTTCAAACTGCTAACACCCTGATTATTATTACCCCGATAGCCCAAGCTGCCTGTTAGGCGCTAGACATAGTCACATTTTTATCCAACCGGGTACCCATTTTCGGCTGGGTGAACAGAGGCAATTTTGAACAAACTCACGTGCCTAAGGTGAGACCACATGTATCACATGTACTTCGTTGTGGGGCAGAACTGAAGTCCTAGAAACTCTCAGGAGTCAAGCTGTCAAACACGGTCACCCATCCAAGCTCGCCAACTGATTCGTGACCTGCGCTCTGTGCACAGGACCACACGCCACGATCGCTTTCTCGTTCAGATCACGAAGGAGCCTGTCATTTGACAGTCATGTTATGTAACTCATTATGGTGTGAATGCGAAAATCATCACCAAATCAGTTGTTTACTGTTGTAGGTCCCATATGTGTTAGTTGAACGCTAAAATCAAAACCACCCGTGTTTTGATAAATTGGAGCTGGAGGAATCATGTGTTTTTAAAAATCCATATTGCTTTACTCTTCTAATCTATACATGGATGGGAATATTTGAAAGACGAAAGAATTGCAACATCGATATCCAAATACACTTCTTTATTTGTGTATATGTGTTATCAGGCAACACCTGATGTTTGGCTCCAAAGTTGAGTCACAATACGATCCCGCCATGCTGCTGGGGCATTGCTGAGTGTGGCAACAACAACAACAACAACAACAACAACAACAACAACAACACAACAACAGCCTAATACCATCAGTTCGTGAGACCTGGAATAATCCACATTCAGGCTCCACCGGAGAACTTGCCAATGAAGAGGTTGGCTTTGGAGACGTTGTCTCTGATGATGAAGAGGAAGGGGTGGTCACAGCGAATCTCGGGCGTTATTCGAAGTGACGTGAGAGCTGAAGGAAATAATAAACATTGTAGCCATATGTCTTTAAAAGTTAACAAAATATATACTGTCTATTAGTAACGGTTATTCGATGGTGATATGTTTTACATGGATATCTAATTGTGTTTAAGCCCTAAACACTGTAGTGCTTTTGAGACTATTTCCATTTTCAATTATGACATTGTTTTCGCCAAATTAAATTATCATTCTTTTGCCACGCAGTTTATGAATTAATGTCACATACAAATTTCGGACGAGACCCTTTGATAATTACTTTTCTGGCAACTTGAGGAACATTGGCGAAAAACACACGAAACAACATTTCAGCAACAGGTCATCCAAATGTCAATGATGCGGAAATGTAGTTAAACCTGGTTAAGAGTGATCGTGTTTGCACCATATACATGATTCTAACAAGACGAAATCTGGCAGTGAACTCTAAACTGGACATAAACAGAGAACAGAACAGCTGACCATTATTTTGTCTGTACTTAGGTACTGAGTAAATTTTTTTTTTAAAAACACATTAAATCATGATTAGATATAGGATATAGTCAGATATACTCCTCTCGGCTGTATCGCAGTCATGTGTTTATGTATGATCAAATAGTGATGATAACAGACGATTTCATTTATCAGCCTGTAGTGAAATAAGAAATATCCATTAAAAAAACTATGTTGCAGAACTATGTTCTAACTATATCATGAACATATGTTAATGAATCATTGAAAAGGAGTGGGTTGGTGAGTGAGTTACGAATTTAAGTCACATCGGCAGTACTTCAGCCATATCGTGACCACTGAAAAGGGGAACGAATCATGACCCACAAGTGGCTCCGTAACCAACACATGCAAAAGCAAGTCAATTACCTCCTAAAACAGGCTTGTGGTTATACTGGAGTCTGTATTTCAATTTGTTGTGGCTATTGACACGGGTTGGTCGCTTTTAGATTCAATACTTACTCATAACAACTCCTGTGGCTCCAGCAGCTTCACTTCCGACTTCGTTGACGTCGACAACAGCTTTATGAATTACATCAGAGATGTACAGTTGGCCGGTGTTCACGATGCCGCTGAAGTCTGCCATTCCCTCCAGGAATGGATTGGTCATCCCCATATTTTGTAAAGATTCCTTTACTGATATTGCTGTCTCCAGTTTGAAACGAGGCAAATATACCTTCAAGTCCGAAGCTACGACAGTGTCCAACCTACTGGCGAGAAGATCTACCGTCAGCCCGTTCTCCAGTGTGGGTAGGTCTTCGATTTCATTGGGAAGCATCACGAGCATACTGAAGCGGTCACCTTCATATGGTAACTCCAATATTCTGGCAGCATGACCAGGAACAGTGCCCAACTTGAACATCCCTTCTACTTGCATCATCTGAACGGGCACCTGCTCAGTACGTGACTTTCTGAACATCTGCTGAGTTGTTAGGGATTGTGTAAATGGCGTCTTCCACTTTGCTTTAAAGTAGATCGCGTTGACTAGAATCATAGCTGTCAACGAATCTATGGTTCCCGGGGCCACTAGGTTTGGAATGAGATTATTCGTCTGTTCAGAAACCCATTCGTTAATCGGACCTTCTGGACCATCTGGGTGCTCCCAGTCAAACGAGGAAATATTAGCCTGGTAGAATACACGCAGACTATCTGAAAACTCATCCACAACATTCAAATCTGCTTTCACATACACGCCATTCGCTGTCTTCAGGGTAGCGTTGCCAGAACGTCTGATGACTTTGTTGATTTTCTTTGCTGCTCGACGCGTGCGTCGTCCAAGTCCCTGTAAAGCGAGTGTTCTCTTCATTTGATTTGCTGTATCCCCATTAGCCCCCATGTATGTCATGGTCAATGCTTGATGAATGCTAAACGGAGAGTACACAACGTCTGTAACAGGTTGTCCAACTTGCCTGTGGAGATTGGCTGTGAAACTGTTCTGTGCACCAACCAGGGCCGCGATTAGTCGTTGTGCTCTTTGAGTCATGTTGGATAGATCTACCGTACGACGTTGACCTCTCCCACCACGTCTACCACCACCAGGTCGTCGGCCTCGTCCAGGCCTTCGCCTGCGCCCTTCTCCTCTTCCCCTAACACTACCAACGTTGTCTTCTCCATCTTCACCTCCATCACCATCTCCATCACCCTGTCTGTGGCTCCTGTGTCGATGGCGTTGTCTCCCTCTTAGCCCTCGCTTTTCTCTGATCGCATCCTCAGTGAGCTCGGTGTCATGGTTACCAGTTGCTTCAAGAGTAGCATAGACCACTGCAATATGTTTTGCAAAATACTTAATTTGAATGAATAAGCATTAGATTCCATGTATGGAACAAGTAATTAGGTATGTCTTTTGCATGAGCGAAATATTACGGACATTTTCTATTTTTGGAAACACTAAACCATTAATGGTCTACAATGCCAATTGCTCTTATGTCATGCATGCAGTTGAAGAAGTGTCATGAAATAATCTCCTTGCCTACGTTTGATCAAATTTCTGACTCTCATCCATTTAAAACCGGAGACTGAGGGATACATATAAGTCATATGATAGACACAACTGGACAATTATAAGAAATATGATACTACTTTATTTACAGAAAACATAGAATCACATTATCTTATTTTGAACTTCAAATCTGCCATGAAAGTGTACGTTGAAGGATGTAAAAGATAATATGTAGCTCATAGATAGCAAAGTCTTACACGAACATATTTCATTACAGAACCCACTTAGTACAATACCAATTTGACGCAGCTTTGAGTTATAAGGGCAGATAGGTATTGGGAACAACATAATATGACAGTTGGAACAATAATTTTGAATGAATTCTAAAATGACTACCTCATAGCTAAAGGACATTACTGTTTGGTTGTGAAGTTAAGTAAATGCGTGCCCATAAATTGTAATGATGTGAAATCATGCCTTTGACAATAAAAATGTGTTCCTTCACATTAGTTCTGTTTTCAGTGCACTAAATTACTCATACTTAGACATGTGTGTATAGTGTAATCTTGCCCATGTGGGAAAATTATAACAATTCACATCAGTGAACAATTGTTTACGTCATGTCAAAATCGGAGTCAATACTCTTTTCCGAGTTTACAAAACAGTGAGTTTGGGCATGAAATGGCCTCTTGAATTGAAATATTTGAAATTACGATTGAGGCATTAGAGACATACTGTCTCCCATGCTTTGTCCACATGTCTATGTTTACTGAAGCGGAACATTCATTGCCTAGGCAGATGGAATCTGGGTGTGCTTACACAACATAGAAGGCTGTGGTGGTATTTTTACACACTACACCAATGGGTAATGGACAGTTTTGCTTTGGACTATGACAACGTCACAGCCATAATAGTTCAGGGCAAACTTGTATGTTATCACACTACATAAGGCGTTACGGAATGCCCTTGAATATAATCAGCCAAATGGAATCCCAAACTATACTCAAACTCGCTTCAATCAAGATATTGGATGGATTTGACTTAGACCGAGACTTTATACTGGGGTCATATCAGTTCCTCAGCTTTGATAGTTTAATTAAAGTGAAAAGCTGCATTTTAAGAGAATTCCAGGTCACTATTGCTATGTCACATACCACCTGGAGACCACCGCGTTTATACAGTACGCACGCTTGTCTTATTCGTCTTTGTCCAGACGTTCCATTGTTGAATTGCCCGAGGTAAAACGCGCCTGGAATATTCAATTTACATGCAAGTTGTCCCGTCAATTTCAGTAAAATATATATTGCCCATATCAATTCACGTGACTCTGAACGTATACGATAAATGTATCTATTTATTTGTCTAAAATAAGTTTTGAATCTTTATTCGAATGAAAACAGAATCAAGTGTCTCTAAGGTATATTGACTCAAACCAAAAGAATATATATTTCTTTTAAATTGTGTCCTTGAAATGTTGAGTGTTAGATTACTGTTCAATACTGAATCAGTGTCAGATTTCAACACATTTACAAATACCTAAGGGTCATAGTAAGATAGATGCAATGTTTTTCAACGGAACAAGTTCCGATCAGACAAATGTCAACACTGAAACAATATAATGTGCCTTCAAGAACATAATAAAATGCCAAAGTGCAGTTTAGTGCAGACTTTAGGTTAATATGAGACGGATATCATACACTGCTTTCGCACTGCATCAAAGGAGCGTTTTTTTGGGTACAAACATAGTTCATGCCAATATATATAAAAAACAGCCTTGGTAATATCTCACGCCCCATAGACGATTCCGGGTGCTGACGCACCTCGGATGTTCTTCACCTTATATAAAAGTTTAAATCTCATTTTAAAAAACAACAATATAGGACGTGATATGTTCTACATATAAGAACGTGAATGAAACATCAATACACATGCAAGACGTATTACCTGCTATGAGAAGAACACAAGAGCAGATGGTGAAGATGAGACTAGGCCCCATGGCTTTCCAGATGCTGTTCCTTGCGCGGAGGGTGTGACACTGTAACCTGAGGTGATGTATCATATGTTTACAAGACCCTCGACTGCAGTATTTAGGCGAATGCTTCTTGTGCGCTGTGTTTGTCTCTGTCGTATGTACTTGTTATTTCTGTGATTTGCCTGTTTGCTCGTCGCTTGATGTCCCACTCCCACTGGTTCTCGAACATGCTAGTAAAGTGATTGATTCCATATCATTAATATTATGATCAAAGATTATGATTCGTTAAAACAGGGTCATTATATAGTTGGAATCCTAAAGTGGATTTTCTTTTGTTTAGAAAGGCTTTTGGTTGTTTAAGTTTGACTATGTGAATAAAGAGCCATTAACTTTTTAATAAACATAGACAATCACGATGGCATGAAATGACCCCTGTGTGAAGCAGAACATCCACCTTGTTCGTGGTGCTTACTCGTGAAGGTCCGGGTTAGAATGTTGATATTCAGTACCCCATGCTTGTCGTAAGAGGCGACTAAGGGGATCAGGTGGTCAGGCTCGCTGACTTGGTTGACACATGTCATCAGTTCCCAATTGCGCAGATCGATGCTCATGCTGTTGATCACTGGATTGTCTGGTCCAGACTCATTTACAGACCGACTCCATATAGCTGAAATATTGCTGAGTGCCGCGTACAACTACACTCACTTACTCTCTCGTGGTGCTTCAAGGCCTTGCTTCATTTCCAATATGTATAGTATTAGTTTGTCTTTTTGGCGTGTTTTGTTTCTAATTAAGCGAGTTCAAAATGTGTTATTCTTGAGGTCTTGAGATGAGATATTTTTTCAATCACTGTTCAAATAATTTACTGTTTGTTTTGAAGGAGGTGCTGCAATGTTGCATGTTACAGCAAGACAAAGCAACAAATCATTGATTTTCTTTAGTGAAACCTGAAGGATCTTCATCGAAAACAGTCTACGACATCTCAAGAACATCAACATTAACGTTCCTCTAGCACATTGGGAACCTTAAAGACGACACGCCAAAACACAACACTTGTTGACCATCACGAGTTGCGTTCCATCATGTTGACGGGGATAAGAGAGGGTCATGTGTCTTGTGACAGAGTACTGGTGTGTTGCAGGAGATCGAATATCATCGAAGACTCACGAGGGTAGTCTTGTCACTTGAACCATTCTCGTGATGTCATATGATACATGAATAATAAAGACATCTAAGATTTTAAATGTCCCCTTACTTAATTTTGAAAACCTTCTTGTTCTAATTTTAAATCGGTCACTTAAAATTTTAAGATGCACTTCTAGTGATTATTCTGTGGAAATACGTACTGTGCAGAAAGGGAACTTATGGTGGAAAGAAATATCTTCTTTCATTCCGTGTTTCAATATTGGGAGATATAAATATTAACCGAGATTACCAGTAGTTGTATGCTCAAGGGGTGGGAAGCATGGGATGGGGTGGGGTGGGGGTCTGTTTGGGTATGTGTGTGTAAGACCACCTCTTCAATCTGACCATATGTAGTCACCTCTCACGATAAGCATGGATTGATGATGACCAATTCTGACCCGGATCATCACGGTTGTTTTATGCAGTCAGCAGTATTGTAATACTGCAGCTGTTGCAATGGCGCATTATTGCAGTTTAGGTTTATACTTTACACCATTGCATTGTGAGACGCCTAATTCATAATGCGGTTTATTGAACTATACTTGTGATGTACAAACTAGGGCTTTATACTCTGCATCCCCCACTTTTATGAAGAGGTACAAGCGCCTCCATGTAAATGAGCGAACAAGGAGTATTACCCAATTACAACTCGGGTAACAGAGTTTCACATGAGTGGAGCCATGAGCAATTTCCACATTAATCAGGGATTAGGACTGGTTGTGAGGAGATCATTCTTAATACGAAGTTATCGTAGTATCTTTTTATGAGACGACATGCCATTAGATCATTTGTGACGTCATGAAAACGGACAGTTTCTAATCGTCAAATATTTGCAGCAAAACATTCACGTTACCAAATGTTACAATTAGGCATCTTGGCAAACATCTGTACAACTTCAAGGAACTTTCAATCAGCATGAAGCCGAAACTGAAAGAGACCTCAGTCACGATTACTGATATTACTGGGTGATACAGTAGAGTAATTACAATTTTAATTCAACATTTTGTCAAACGTTGTTCAGGTGCCAGGTGTAACTTAAATGTATGCTGCACACGTGTACGGTGAAATATGGCTAAACAATCTTTCAAGATTACTCCAGTTGTAGAGTGACGTGCGTGCACATGTGATGTGACTGTTTGTACCATTTGGTGCAGTGCTAGCCTTTCAGGCAGCAGTCCACAATACCCCAGCTATCTTACATCGACACATTAGACTGCATATTCTCTCCTCAAATGGGAGGAGGGAAATGGGACCTTAATAGAAACTGCCTGAACAGAAACTGTAAGGCCGCTGCTGTTATTTCTGTGTGTAGTAGGAGAAACTAAGTGATGACCCTCTTGTTAAAGTCAGGTTTTGCCGCTGTGTTGTGGAACGCTGTCGATCACATGCATGTCCCTGGGAAGCTGATTCAAAGTCAGTGGTCGTATCACGCTTAGGGAAGCACACTCGTCGTTTCCTCAAACATGTTTGTACATGGTTAAATGTGCAAATAGCTGAAATATATGCTTGTATTTCACACACATGTTTGACTTTTCATCATGTGAGCATCACACTGTACAAAACAGTGTAAACTGAAGTCGAAGTCATACTAATCGATATGGCTGAAATATTACTATGTCACTATAAATACTCACTCACTCACTCACTCTAATTTGTTGTCACAACAGTAGGAAATCACGCCAGAATAAGATCCACACATTATCATAGCATACACGAGATACACGGTACAGCATTGGAACCCAATTTTTGAGATATGTTACGTTCATCTGTTACTTTGTGTCACATGTCAACAGTATGTTTCGGACATATGTAGTCTGTAAATACACTCGCAAGTATATGTCAGCAGTGATATGGACGAATTGAATGGAGACCAGGCATATCATGTACAGCAAATATCTTCATATGGTAACTGACTTGGTTGACACGTCATCGGTTCCAAATTGCGCAGATCGATGCTCATGCTGTTGATCACTGGATTGTCTGGTCCAGACTCGATTATTTACAGACCGCCGCCATATAGCTGGAATATTGCTGAGTGCGGCGTAAAACTAAACTCACTCACTCACTCATTTGGTAACTTGACATTCACAGAGTTGGGAAATAGTTTATTCCAGAACTTTGTTATACGCACGTACGACAGTGGCTTCTTGTGTAACATTTGATATTAAGCAAATACATTTTTCATCCAGTAATGTGACTCTCTTACAATCAATAACTGGTGCACATCACGATGGACAAGAGGTATTAGATATTCATTAAAATTTACTTCCTGTGGCTGATGAGGAACTTATTGGAAAAAAAACATATAACCTATTAACAGCTGCAATCCATGTTCTTTTACTTTTCTAATCGATACATGGATGTGAATAGTCGAGATGTGAGAGACTTGCTATATCTATATCCAACTACACTTCCTTTTTTGTAATAATAAGTGACCAGGCAACATATGATGGTTGACTCCAAAGTTGAGTCAGAATACGATCAATTCGGGGGACCTGGAATAATCCACATTTAGGCCCCACCGGAGAACTTGCCAATGAAGAGGTTGGCTTTGGAGACGTTGTCTCTGATGATGAAGAGGAAGGGGTGGTCACAGCGAATCTCGGGCATTATTCGAAGTGATTCGAGAGCTGAAGTAAACAGTAAACAGTGAAAGACTTTTAGCTCAATATTTCACTGACAAATATTGCATGTCTTCCAAATGTCAACAAGTATATCTTTAAGGAAAATACACATTACCATAATATCTAATGATAGTTATCTTACTTAGGAGCAAACATACGTTTTACATGAACGAGGTCAGCTGAGAACTGTTTTCTGTTTCAAATTTTTGCGAGACATGAATGTTGATGATCCATCGTCTGCAAACATGTATGTAGACACGACTAACATGATAAAAAAGGTTTTGTAATGATACGTATTTTAGGAATTACAACCTACCACTGAAACACGACTGTGCAATACCTTATTATTCCCACATGTACGTTCTGCAAATTATCTAAACATGTTTAGATAATACTAAGTAAAATAGAAAAAATATATCTTGAAATAGCATTAGCGGTAGGACATACTCAGTAATGGAATATTTCTGGAATCAAAGTACGTCAAAATGCTTTCACTTTTAATCACTCTCAAAATGAATACAATGATTAAATAACACAACTTACAGGAGCGTGACATACCAACATACACAGGAGAACGATTCTAACGAACTCATGAACATATGTTCAATCACTGAAATGGGGAGCAAATGGAAACACAAGTCAACTGCAACCTGAAAAAGACTTGTGGTTTTATTTGGATCTGTTTTTCTATTTGATTTGGCTATAGAATCCATTTTTAGAAACGAAATACTTACAAATGATAACTGCTGAGGCCCCAGCAGCTTCACTTCCAATTTCATTAACGTCGACAACAGCTTTATGAAGTACATCAGAAATGTAAAGCTGACGAGTGCTCACGATGCCGCTGAAGTCTGCCATTCCCCGCAGGAATGGATTGGTCATCCCCATATTTTGTAAAGATTCCTTTACTGATATTGCTGTCTCCAGTTTGAAACGAGGCAAATATACCTTCAAGTCCGAAGCTACGACAGTGTCCAACCTACTGGCGAGAAGATCTACCGTCAGCCCGTTCTCCAGTGTGGGTAGGTCTTCGATTTCATTGGGAAGCATCACGAGCATACTGAAGCGGTCATCTTCATATGGTAACTCCAATATTCTGGCAGCATGACCAGGAACAGTGCCCAACTTGAACATCCCTTCTACTTGCATCATCTGAACGGGCACCTGCTCAGTACGTGACTTTCTGAACATCTGCTGAGTTGTTAGGGATGGTGTGAATGGCGTCTTCCACTTTGCTTTAAAGTAGATCGCGTTGACTAGAATCATAGCTGTCAACGAATCTATGGTATCCGGGGCCACTAGGTTTGGAATGAGATTATTCGTCTGCTCAGAAACCCATTCGTTAATCGGACCTTCTGGTCCATCTGGGTGTTCCCAGTCAAACGAGGAGATATTAGCCTGGTAGAATACACGCAGACTCTCTGTGAAATCGTCCACGACAGTCAATCCTGCTTTAACATACACACCATTCGCCGTTTTCAGGGTAGCATTGCCAGAATGGCTGATAACTTCGTTAAGCTTCTTTGCTGCTCGGCGCGTACGTCGCCCTAGTCCCTGTAAAGCGAGTGTTCTCTTCATCTGAAACGCAGTATTACCCATAGCGCCCATGAAGGTCATGGTCAACGCTTGGTGAAGGCTAAACGGAGAGTACACAACATCTGTAACAGGTTGTCCAACTTGACGGTGGAGATTGGCTGTGAAACTGTTCTGTGCACCAACCAGGGCAGTGATTAGTCGTTGTGCTCTTTGAGGCATGTCGGATAGATCTGTGGCACTTGCTATCCTACGTTGACCTCTCCCACCACGTCTACCACCAGGTCGTCGGCCTCGTCCAGGTCTGCGCCTGCGCCCTCCTCCTCTTCCCCTACCACTACGAACATTGTCGTCTCCATCTTCATCTCCATCACCATCTCCATCTCCCTGTCTGTGGCTCCTGTGTCGATGGCGATGTCTCCCTCTTAGCCCTCGCTTTTCTCTGATCGCATCCTCAGTGAGCTCGGTGTCATGGTTACCAGTCGCCTCCAGTGTAGCATACACCACTGCAATATGTTTGGCAAAATATGTAAGTGAAATGAATAAGCATTATTTTCAATTTGTTGAGCAAGTAAATAAGTTTGTCTTTTCCATGAAGGAAATATTCCGGCTTTTATTCATCTTGAACATTAAAGCATTAATAATGCAAAAATGCCAATCACCTCCATGCAAATATTACCCATTCAATCTGCTCCATTACACTTATTAAATGAATGTTATGAATTTCTGCCATCTGGCCGCCATTTCAAAATCTTGTATTACAAGACTAATAGAACTTCAAAGTAATTTTTCCATACATCGTAAAACTTCTAAATCTACCTCCAAAATTGTAACAGTGAAGACATTGATTGCACGAGTGATTGTTATATTATGTACTTTAATTATGATTCATTATTATATTGTGATTAGCTTGACATTGTGTGTATAGATGTACTTTAAATTATCTTTTTTTCTTGGCATTGTATTGGCTGTTTAAATGCAAGACAAATTTCCCTTGCGGGACAATAAAGTTTATCTTATCTATGTCATTTTATGTCCATTTAGTGCCTTTACAAGACTCCGGCTAAGTGGAAAGTCAAAAAAGGATTCTATTTCTCGGAACAGAAGTGTCAAATGATATACACATGTCTTAGAACTATGATACTACTTCATGTGTAGAAAATATAAAAAATCGAAACACATAGTCTGATTCTGAACTTGCATCACCCTTCACAATATCCTTGAAAAGAGTATTTAAACGGTGTGTGAAGCCCATTTCTGGTGTCCCCCACCGTGATGTTGCTGGAATATTGCTAAAAGCGGCTTAAAACCAAACTTAGTCAGTCAGTCTCAAAAGGATAATCTGTTGCTCATAGATAGCAAAGGCTTTCATTTCAGTTCGCATAGCTCAATACCAATTTGGCTCAGGGCGCACACAGTTACTGTGAACAACAGAATACCCCAGCTGGAACAATAACGTTGAATGAATGTTTAGCTGGATTTGAAGATAGAAAAGGTTGGGAAGTCAACGTTAAGTCTTAATGGTGGACGTACACGACACTGACTGATATGTGTGACATTCTCAAAGATTCTGAAAGGTATTTTCATGTTTTTGTTGATGGATCAAAGAACACCTCTTCTCTTCCATCTAGCGTTTAGACAGTACCTCCATGTCCCAATGCTCATTTCACTGAGGTTGAACATTTTACAAAATTGTATTTTGACACACCTCATCCATGTGTAAAGTTGACTTATACACATCGAATAATGAAATAGAACTGTTTCAAACTGTATCTTGTGTATATCTTATGTATCTAAGTTTTAATTAATAATGAATGTAAATCATGTGAACTAGCTGTTCGCTACCTCTATTGCAGCATACAAAGATAGTATATAAACACAAGGGCCTTAATAATATGTCTCGAGTCGTTATTAAATCTCAATCATATTATACATGGAATTATTCTATATATAAAATACACACAATTTCCTGTAAAATACTATTCATTTTACACATTGACTGTGACATATAGTGCAATAAAAGGCATATTACCAGCTATCAGCAGAGCACAAGAGCAGATGGTGAAGATGAGCCCAGGCGCCATGATGTGCTGTATATTGTTCTGTGAACGGAGGAGTGACACGGTTTGTGACACGCCTGACTGCTGTATTTGGGCGAATGTATCATGTACACTCCGTTTGTCACAATCACAGTGGTCCGTTAATATACTGAGGGGAAAAAATAAGGGATCACATGAAATACAAGTGTTCCTTTATTGTTTTGAAAGATTTCTTCACAAGCATTGTATCGCACAGCTTGTGAAGAAACCTGGAAAAAAAATAAAGGAATACTTGTGCTTTCATGTGATCCCTTATTTTTTCCCTCGATATAATTATGTCGGAAGTCTGTAAAGAAATTGATTCAGAGAAGCGATTGATATAATAATAAGCAACGATAGGGACACGCTTATGATAAATTTGGAACCATACAAAGGAGACTCCTATGATTTGGGGACACTTCTTTTCGATTTTTTTATTATTATTTTTGACCATTATCAAAATGTCATGTTAGGAACCAGGGAGAAACATGACGTCCATCTTAATCGTTTGATCGGCATTCTAGAAGTTGGTGGGCCACTAATGAAGCATACACCTCCATGTATAACTTCTTGTTTATTGCTTATAGCGACGTTTTGGTGTAGATGTTCACACCGTTATCAAGCAAAAATCTGTATGCTTCATTATTGACGTTCATCTTGTTCGTGATGTGAAGAGGTAAATCTTTCTTTGATATCCAAACTGTATGCGCATCATTTTATTAATTGTGTGTAATATAAGCGGGATTATAATTGTTCCTTGGGTATTGAGATAAGATAACTTTTCAGTCACTGCTGCAAAGCTCTTAATATTTGCTTTGGAGGTGGTGCTGGAATGCAATTTATACAGCATGTCAACAATGGATTTTCTTCCGTGGAACCTTAAGGGTACTGATCCAAAAGGCATACAAAAAGAATAGACCGCCTCCGTGGTGTCGTGGTTAGAGTGTCCGCCCGGAGTGCGGAAGGTCGCGGGTTCGATCCCCGATCGCATCATGCCAAAAGACGTTAAAATATGGTACTTGTTGGTCCCTGCCTGGCGCTCGGCATTAATGGGTACAACAAGGACTGGTCGGCTCGGAGTCAGTATAATGTGTCTGAGTGGGGGATATCCATGCTTCACTGCGGCATGGTATCTCAGTGGACTAGCACTATAAAACCAGCTAAGTCTGGGCTAGTACAACCAGCCGTACATACACACACACGCATGCACGTCGTCATATGAGCGAAATATTCTCAAGCACGACGTGAAACCCAATTTCACCTCACCTCCAAAAAAAAAAGAAATAAACGGTTCCCAAAATATTAACATACTCGCCAAAACACAACACTTTGTTGACCATCACGAGTTACGTTCCAGGATGCTGACCGGGATAAGAGCGGGTCATTTGTCTTGTGACAGAGTACTGGTGTGTTGCAGGAGATCGAATATCATGTCTCACGAGGGTAGTGTTGTCACTGAAACCATTCTCGTGATGTCATATGATACACCAACAATATTCAGTTCAGTGCCTGTAGAGAAAATCTCGGTGTACGTTAGTACCAATTTTACTGATATTATTACATCATTTTCAGTAATACACGCATGCATTATAAATGACTGAGTGAGTTTAGTTTTACGCCGCACTCAGCAATATTCCAGCTCTATGGCTGCGGGCTGTAAATAATCGAGTATTCCCCGTTGTGATATTGCTGGAATATTGTTAATACGGCCTAAAACTCAACTCATTCAGTCGCAAATTTGGAAGCCGTAGACCCACGTTGGGACTCGAACTAAACGCCGGTGGTACGTCTGCGCAGTATCCACTGCCTACCCAAACAGATTTGTGGTTTCTTTTTTTTTCATTTATCAAATGTACGGCAATTAACGCCACCATCTCCCACGACGAGATTATCGCGAGAGATTCCAAGACCTATCAACTCATTTATCATCTCATTTTAAATCTATATGTAGATACGACAGGTAGATACTATAGGTTGTTACTTCAAGTCGCACCTTGAGAACGGACCTTTAAATAAACTAATATAACCTTAAAACAATTACATTGCGAGACGTATAATCCAAATTACCCACATCTTCGGCGATGGTCTCAAAGACATGGCAAACTAAGGCGTGCACCTTTAAGATCGGACATTGGGTGTTTACGCAAAGACTCCTGTAGTGTATATTGTATTGGTGAGCGAATAACAGATGAGTTACGCGGAATTATCTTTATAACTTTTACCATATTTACAAGGAATTGATAATTTCGAATTGTCATTAGGTTCATGTTTAGACATTCAAACACTAGTTTGTCAAATTTGAAGGAACATATATACTTATAAATACTTCGATTTGTCCGATGTTCGACACAAACAAAGTGTTCTCCTAGCATATAAGTTCCAGGTTAGGAACAAGAATTCGAATTTGAAGTAATGTCAATTATCATTTTATTATCGAATTTTTAAACGAAAAAAGAACTGATAGGTGAATTTGATTCATATGTTTTGTACATACATGCACTTTTAGTATTGGTGATTTAAATGAGAAACTAGCAGTAAAAATGAGAGCGTAAAAATATTGTCCTCCTGAGAGGGTACGTAATTCCCATAACATTTCAAGTAAATTTAAGTCTACCAGGTTTTTAATCGTAGTAATTTTGTCATTTCAACTTATGGCTAAATCTCAGCATAAACGCCAATGGCTGAAGGGATGCTGTAAATCCAGCTAGCGTCCATGCAGGTAGCAAAGGCACTGTAAGTCCCCATGGACCCTAGTATGGTGATCTACCTTCAGTTGTTGGCGATTACTAGCCCATTTTTACATTGTATTGTCCAAAAATAGCTTTCTACTTTTAAAGATATATGCTAGCTAGGTTTAACTCATTTTGTGATAATCTAGTACTTTTACTGTCCTTCGTTGACAGGGTTTTATATATTATATGTATGTATTATGAATTTAGAACTAGTTTTAGTCACGATTTGGCTGAGATATTGCCGATGCGACTTTAAATTTTAACTCACTCACCCACTCGAATTTGAAGGAACATATATACTTATAAATACTTCGATTTGTCCGATGTTCGACACAAACAAAATGTTCTCCTAGCAGATGAATACCAGGTTAGAAACAAGAATTCGAATTTGAAGGAATATATATACTTATAAATACTTCGAGTTGTGCGATGTTCGACACAAACAAAATGTTCCCCTAGCAGATGAATACCAGGTTAGAAACAAGAATTCAAATATGAAGGAGACGACCCCTCATACCTGTTTCATTTTATAGTGATAGTACGGCTCCATGGTAGCTAAATCCTTAATAGTTTCAGTCTTAAAGTTATTACTTTTTACGTCAGCTATCGTTTATAATGAAGCTAGTTTTAATTTCAAAATGGGCATTTAAAAAGTTTCCTTTGTAATGCAATATCATCGCAGACTAATTTGCATGAAACCATGGTCTGTTCCAAATAAGTCGATTTCGAAGGTACTGTAAGTCATGCATCATAGTCCCTAGTATGTATGGTGATCTACCTTCAGTTGTTGGCGATCTATAGCCTGTTTTTATATTGTATTGTCCAAATAGTGTTATCAGTTTTGACTTTCCACACTAGTTTTAGTTGTAATTGTGATATTCTAGTTGTTTTACTGTCCTTCGTCGACAGGTTTTTATAATATACATATATTCCATTTCAATGTCACATATGTTCTCGTCACGATATGGCTGAAATATTGCCGATGTGACGTTAAATATTAACTCACTCACTCACTCACCGAGTCTGACAATAGATTCTTAAGATGAACAGTGTGGCACTAGGTCTTGTGAACAGAGGGTTAGTCCGAGTGTGCAATCTCTCGTGAAGTCCTACGAAAAAGTAGTAAAAGATAGTAGCTTGTGGCCTATGGCTTGGCAATAAGTAAATAAGACTAGAACTGGTCAGTTCGGAGACAGTTTGCTGTAGTGGTATCCACTTTAAACTGTAATGGTGTAACAGTATCTCTCTAAATACGATCAAAAGCGACGTTAATCCCATCTCAACTTACTCCCCATCACACCCGTGAAGGTCCGGGTTGGAATGAACCTTCAGTAACCCATGCCTGTCGTAAGAGGCGACTAACGGGATCGGGTGGTCAGGCTCGCTGGCTTGGTTGACACATGTCATCGGTTCCCAATTGCGCAGGTCGATGCTCATGTTGTTGATCACTGGATTGTCTGGTCCCGACTCGATTATTTACAGACCGCCGCCATATAGCTGGAATATTGCTGAGTGCGGGGTAAAACTAAACTCACTCACTACTTCCCATCACTGTTTACATAATGTAATATCCTGGTCGACGAAATGATACTTTTTGGTTATTTGAGGTAATAAAAAGGTTATGAACTAAAGCAAGGATGTGTAGAATTAAAACATTAAGCGTAACATCCAGTTAAGTGAGTGTTGAAATTACAGGAATGTGTGGTCAATCGGGTTGATTTAACAACGTTGTGGAGTGATATTTGAACAAGGGAAATCGTTTGGACATTTCCACTGTTAAACTAAACGTGTATTTTTCAACAATCCTCAACTCCTTCCTGTTTTAAAATATGTCAAGTGTGTATCCAGGTGGCATCAAGTAGAATTCCCCGAGAATGCTGTTTTAAGGATCAACGTGTTCTATTTTCGCTCCAGGGCATAACCAGCTGGTATAAAGTTCAATTTCCCGAGAATGCTATTTTAAGAATCAATGTATTCTATTTTCCGTACAGCTCACGATCAATGTATAAATCAATCACTGCCTACGACCGTACGTTTTGATAAAAGTACTCCCTTCCAATTAAGACATAAAGAGGATATCTAACAGATATAACAATGTGTCATTGCTCAATGTTTTCATTTGAAGCATCCGTCTTATTTTCGCTTTCGGTTCTACATCCGATAGCGTGCCATGTGCATTTCCTTTGACAGATAAAGCGTATGTACAGAATGTATACTTAGAAAGCTGGGTTTCATTCCATGTAGGACGTGAGTTTGGTTTTATGCCGCTTTTAGCAATATTCCAGCAATATCACGGAGGGGGACACCAGAAATGGGCTTCACACATTGTACCCATGTGGGGATTCGAACCCGGGTCTGCGGCGTTACGAGCCAACGCTTTAACCACTAGGCTACCCCACCTCCCCACTTGATACAAACGGTATATACATGGATATTTTCGTTCGAATGGACCCGTGAAGATCCGGGTTAGACTTGGTCTTCAGTAACCCATGCTTGTCGTAAAAAGGCGACTAACGGGATCACATGATCATGCTCGCCGACTTGGTTGATAACATGTCATCGTATCCCAATTGCCGAGTCCGAATCCCATACTGTTGATCACTCAGCTGTAACATTGCTGAGTGCGGCGTTAAAACACATACAACAAAAACTGGACGTTTGTATATCTAATTCACATGGCCATATGCACATTAGTTAATCTGAAGTGGAATTTCTGTCGACTTTAGTTAAAAGGTTGATCTCCATTTAGCTGGAATATTGCTAGTGCGGCGTTGAACAACAAACAAATCGCTCTGACGCCAACAGTTTTACACACTTGAAAACTCCGCGAGTATCTTGATAACAACTGGTCTTCAACAACCCATGCTTTTGAGAGGCGTCAAACGAGATCTGGTGGTCAGACTCGCTGACTTGCAATTGGTTGACACATGTCATCGTATTTCAAATCGTAGATCGATGCTCATGATGTCAAACCGATTACTAAATTTTTAAATGTCATGTCAAAATTTGACTTTGGTTCCACCAAGGCTTCAAAATGTGGGTCATCCCTTACTTCCGGAAACATAAATCTTAGATTTTTCCATGAATTTAGGGTGAAAATGTATGAATTCCTCAGAATAAGATCTTCCAAATTCTATTTTTGTATCATGTAATATAATGTGAGTGTAGTGTTCATGTTCAAAGCAATTACAATAGTAACACATTTTATACTTCCGGATTGGGAATTCAGGAAACACAAGCTTGTATTTAGAGGCGACTAACGGGATCCGGTAGTCAGACTGGCTGACTTGGTTGACATATGTCACCGTATCCCATTTGCGTAGATCGGTGCCCATGCTGTTGATGACTTGATTGTTTGGTCCGGACTCGATTATTTACAGAGCGCAGTCAACAACGGCATTAAACAACACACAACGAACAAACAAGATGTGTCTTTATGCAAAAGTTGCACCAATTGCGATAAGCAGGCATTAGAATCGTCACATGGGAACTCATCTTACATGGTTGTGATTCAAAGAGACAATGTTGTGAATTTAGGGTTAGAATTGATCTTCAGGAACCAACGCTGGTGGTTAGAGGCAGTACCGGGACATGGGTTCATTTCACGTGTGCGTGTTCCTTCACTGAGCCAATACTGTTCACGCTGGTGGAGATATGTGATCCGAGATTGGACTGGTCTTGTAGTAAGACACGACTGACCGGATCGGATGGTCCCGATCGGTGACCTACAGTCCTTTGATTTCATTTGAGACCGATGAATTGCTCACTAACACAAAATCTAATAATTGCAACAAAACCAAATTTTGCACAGTCACGTTAAATCGACAGACCAACTCTGGTGATTTGTCTCAAATATGCGAGAAACAAGTGTGAAACTTAAATTTCACTACACGCGCTTGTTGTTCCACCCCAAGTGATCCCCCTCGTAAACAATAGCGAAAAGTGACAGCAAAATAATGATGGTTTGTTAAACAACATTTTTATTCGGGTGTCCAAAATTATGGGACAAATTATCAGAGTTGGTCTCTCGATTCCATGTGACTGTGCAATATTTGGTTTTGTTGCATTCATTAGATTTTGTGTTAGTGAGCAATTCATCGGCCTCAAGTAAAACCAAACGGACTGTAGTTGACACATATAATTGTATCCAAACTTCTTAGGTCGACACTCCCTTGATTTTTTACGAAGGCATTGTAAGTTACAGAATGTACCGTTATGTGATGTACAGTTATCATACTCATGTAATTTTTACCCATGAAAATCCGGTTTCGAAAGGTCTTCCTCAACCCGGTGTTTTGGGATCTCATGGAATCCGGTTCGTGCATGTCGACGTATACCACCTGCTTTTCATATGTTACAATAAAACAGCTAAAACCTACATTATAAGTACATGATATGATTCTCCTGCAAAAGTTGACAGATTTTACAGAAATATGTTACTGCTTTCGATCACTCCCCAACGTAGTACAAACCAAAGAAATTAGATGACGGAAACCGGTAGACATATGACATGTTGCTCACAGTTACAGACACGTGATCACCTTGCCTCAGTCTGACAGTCGCGGACAGATAACTCGTGACGAACCTCCCGCTGACTTCCGGTAATGTCTTCTTGGCCATGATGATGTATATGCTACCCAGGTTGGGCAGGTTTGTGTTGCTCCTCTTCATAACATGTACGACGTTGTCAGGTTGTCGGTGCCAGTGTTGGGATTTCAGTGTGAGGAGGGAGTAGATACGGTAGGTGCCGCGTCGTTTGATTTGGAGTGTCTTGTTGTCGTAGATGACGCTGTCATTTGTGTTGGCGGAACAGTGGGTTTCATCAGTCCATTCCAGCGATCCACCTGAAAAGCACGGTGAAGAAAATATACTGGACAAAATAAATTAGGGATATTGTATTTTCATGATTGATATTTAATCAGTGTGTCAATGAATAAATAGATCATTATTCATAATTTCAAAATTTACATATATCCCTAACTATTTTTGTCCAGTATATATGTGGAATTATCTGATATATTTATTGTCGTATAACGTATCAACGTATGTGACATCGCGCTATTTGTTATTAGCAATGTTATTAATCTGTACTATACGCATGGGCGAAAACAACTGATGCATAGGGGCGACATGTTTGTTTGTTAGGGCTGCACTCAGCATTATTCCAGCTATATGGCGGGGCGAGATGTAACTGCTCCACTTTGATGACAACGAAACAACATAGTTTACTGTCTGCCAGCTCACACATTGCTGGTGATGTAAAATGGAGTTACTATAGTACTTCTGAAGTCACGTGAATACACGTAGGTGGTGGGTGTGTGCGTGCGTACAAACGTGCATGCGTGCGTACGTGTGTTTGTGTTCCAGTCTAGACTAATGCTCTTTTTCAGTCGTGCCGCAATGTACCACGGATGTCAGACTCAGACGCAGTATACATACGTCGGGCCGATAATTCCTTGTTGTGTAAGACAAAATATTATGAATGTCAAGTTCTTCTGTATTGTATACACAACGTGTCTGGACTTTTCCTTGATCCTTTGTCAGGTGAATGATGAATGGGCAAAGAAAAACCAGAAACGTTGAGTAAACAAAAAAAGACTGACTGACTGACAGTTTGGTTTTACGCCGCTTTTAGCAATATTCCAGCAATATCACGGCGGGGGACACCAGAAATGGGCTTCACTCATTGTACCCATGTGGGGATTCGAACCCGGGTCTTCGGCGTGACGAGCCAACGCTTTAACCACTAGACTACCCCACCGCCCCAAACAAAAAAAGAAGAAGAAGTTGACATCCATAATAATTTGTCTTATACTTGAATATCAACTTTTATATGCTCTCAAGAACCTCCGTGTTGTATACTTCAAAGCAGAGCTCGAAGCAGGGTACGTGAACGCTTTTCGTTTCGTACGACGTGGTCGGGGATCGAACCGCTCACCTTCTGCTCTCTCAGAAGTATGATCCACTTAACCATACAGGCGATAGCAATCTATCCTCCTCAATGAGTTCCTGCGACAAACATGGTATGTAGTTGACTATTCCTCTTTGAATCCGTACCTTGTATGTGAATGAATCATGAATTAATTAATAGTCATTAGTTTTCTACTTACTCTTTTTCGATGCGTCCGAGTTCAGATACAGATGGGCTCCGGACTTACGAGTGAACACTAAACCGGCGCCCGGTTGTTGGGATTTGAATGCGTTGTTGGATTGGTCAGTGAACTGAATGAAAGAGCTAAGATACAGCCTGGGTTAGAATTGGTCTTCAGTAACCTAGGCTTGTAAGAGGCGACTAACGGGATCGGGTGGTCAGGCTTGCTGACTGGGTTGACACATGTCATCGTATCCCAGTTGTGAAGATCGATGCTCATGCTGTTGATCACTGGATTGTCTGGCCAAGACTCGATTATTTACAGACCGCTGCGCGGGAATATTGCTGAGTGTGGCGTTAAGTTTGATTCCCAACGTGGGTTTACTGCTTCCAAATTCGCGTCTGAGTGAGTTGTATTTTACGCCGTATTAACAATATTCCAGCAATATCACGACAAGGGATACTAGAAATGGGCTTCACACATTGTACACATGTGGGGATTCGAACCCGGGTCTTTTGCGTGACCACCAGGCTACCCCACCGCCCCTCGTCCACATGCAATTGATCGCTTTTTGTATGCTTCGTTGGTTTTCCCTTCAAGGATAACATAAACGTCATTTTCAACAACAGTGGTTTCCTTTGGCTCATGGTGCCTAAAATCCGTTGTTTAAAGCCGCACTCACCAATAGTCCAGCTATAAAGCAACGGTATGTATATTATTATCATATTCGATGTCAGGACCAGACAATCCAGTGATCAACAGCATGAGCATTGATGCTACATTTTCCTTTCGTAAGTAAACCACATTATTTGTTTGTTGTCGAACGTTGCACACTATACTGTACCAGACAATCCAGTGATTGACATCGCGAGCAGCAATCTATTAAAGACAGTTGGAACATGTTGCCATGCATCAACTAAATCTGTGAGCCTGACTTCCCGATCCTACTAATTGCATTTTTTAAAACAAAACTAGGTTGATGATGGCTTTTCGAAACCGGAATTTCACCACGGGGAAAGATGACATAAATATAATAACGGTACACCACAGTCTATTTATAGGTACATACCAAGCAACAAACAAAATGTCCTCATCAGTTGGTTTCAGTGTCACACGCTCATGAATGTGTTGCTATATCAGTTTCCATGTCAGTGATCATCTCAAAGTCTCCACGTGCATGATACAACGTTGAATCACTACTTTCTATCATTAATGAGTCATATACACTGCTAGTGCGATTATAACCAACGTTATTGGATGAGCGAACTTCCATATCAAGTGCAATAAACACTAAACATACACCGAAGTAAAAACATTTGGTTCACGGTGCTTAAAGTTTGTCGTTTAACGCCACACTCAGCACTATTCCAGCTATATGTCTTCGAACTCTATATACTCGAGTCTGGACCAGACAATCCAGTGATCAACAGCTTGATCTGCGCAGTTGGGATACGATGACATGTGTCAACCAAGTCAGCGAACCTGACCACCCGATCCCGTTAGTCGCCCCTTAAAACAAGCATGGGTTGCTGAAGACTAATTCTAACCTGGATCTTCACGGGTTGTCAGAATACAGAGGCTAAGTCACACGAGGTTCGCCCCGATTATATGTCAGTACCATAGCCATGCGCGTCTTTTTCAAAAAGGTGTTGAGCGTCTGACATCTGCATTACTCGGGACTTTCCTCCCACAAACAACGGAGCGACGGGTAGCCCAATAGGTCCAGCGTTCGCTCGTCACAGTGAAGTCCCCGGTTCGGTTCCCCACCTGGGTACAATATGCGAAGCCCATTTCTGCTGTCCCACCCCTTAATATTGCTGGCGTAAAACCATACTCACTCACTCACTCACTCACTTGTATGGTGCGGACAACTTAATACAGGCAGTTTTGATGTAAATTTTTTCATAGGCATTCTTCAAGTTGCTCCGTAAAACTATACTCACCTACTCACTCACTCTCACATAATTCCGACATGTCGATATCTAATTTGAATATACTCACTCACAAAACCATATACTCACTCACAAAACCATTACTCACTTACTCACCACGTTCACAGCTCTATCTAATCATCATCATGTGTGAATTAGCAATAGTTACGTTTAACTGGCTAGAATTCATGTTTGATATCTGCGGAAGGATATTGTCTACACATTGTTATTAGTTATATTTGCTATTAGTTGTCATTAGTTGTATTCGATCCTTATTACGAGGGTGGTGGGGTAGCCTAGTGGTTAAAGCGTTCGCTTGTCACGTCGAAGACCAGGGTTTGATCCCCCACATGGATACAATATGTGAAGCCCTTTTCTGGTGTCCCCCGCCGTGATATTGCTTGATTATTGCTAAAGGCGGCTTAAAACTAAACTCACTCATTTCCTTATACCAAGGACACACTACTAGCTCTGTGATCATGATCAAATTCCTTGGGTTACTTTGCTGAAAACAAATTTTCATTTTCTGCCCTTTAAACATTTTTAATAAATTTGCAACCTTTATCTTGAACTAATGATATAACAAATACCGAACTGCCCACAGTAATAAATGTGCTTAAAACAGAAATAACCAAAACTTACGAGATCCAGGAGCATCTGTCGACCCTGGACATTCTTCAGACAGCACAGATAAGACGAGTTGGGAGTGATTTGCACCAATAGATCCTCAAGGTCAGAAATGTTTCGCATGCCCGGATGTACTCCAATGTCCGTGCAGTCCGTGCAGAACGTGCTTCCATGAACTTCCGATTGTGACACCTGCACTGGCTGATCGTCTCTGGTGGCGTCCTTGAAGTGGTGACGGTACAAATAGAATAGAAAAGCCGCATTGGCAGATAACGACAGAACAAGAACAGTCGTAAAGATGACCCGTTTGGCAGAACAGAAGCTCCTTGGAATCGGCGGTGTTTCTCTCTGTGGTTGGAGATGTTCCACTGTCAGGTAACTGTCGTCTGAAGTGTCCGCCATCACTGAGATCGTGGTCACTGTTGCTGTATGTATTTCCTGCTACTAGATCCAACAGGGAAGATACAGCTATATTTTTGCCGGGTCAAGGACGTCTCCATCTCAGGCACAATGGTTTTAACGGGTAGTCTAGTGGTGACAGCGTTCTCCAGTTAAGCTAAACATACGGGTTTGAATTTCCGAATGTGTAGATTCTGTGAAACCCTTTGATCTCCGGATACCGTGTATGGTACGGTTGTGGGTGTGGGTGGCCACTCGCCGTCTTCCTATTCCTATTCAGGGCCTGTCACGTGCTCTGCCTGTCAAACGGTAACACTGAAAAAGGGAACACACCGTGTTTTTGGAACAGCAGAAGGTCCTTCCAATGTGGATCTCTAACACTCCCAATATCGACATACCAATGGCTCGCTCTCTCCCTCTTTTCAGATAATCTTCGCATTTCTATTTTGTTCGTTTCGAATTTGGCATATTAAAATTTATTCTCTTCTACGTAGTTCGTTATACGTATTTGCGTTAAGATATGCAGCAAGTGACCGGAGCCAAAACAGTTCTTTATACCCATCATTTCGCAACAAGCGTGTTCGTTACAAACGTAGTTCACTGCATAAGAAACTTTTCTACTTGAATTCGAAATCGAAAATTGGAAACATTTTAGGTGTCACCAGGGGCGGTGAAGTAGCCTGGTGGTTAAAGCGTCCGCTCGTCACGCTGAAGACCCGGGTTCGATTCCCCACATGGGTACAATGAGTGAAGCCAAATTCTGGTGTCCCCCGCCGTGATATTGCTGGAATATTGCTAAAAGCGTAAAACGTAACTCGATGAAACCAAAAATGATGATCAAAATAGCCGCATAATACTCACTGTGTAACGGTCTTTCCTCGTAGTCAAGCAAGATGGACACAGCGATTTTTAATCTGAATAATGGAATAGACATCTGTTGTGCTACACACAATATGCCGGTTTCACACTGGTTTAAGTATTTAAGTATTTAAATATTTCACATGAGAAGCTCGAAAATACATGCATGTTTTCACACCAGGAAGTGATCTGAACGTTAAACCGTGCTGACACATTGAGTGTGAACTTACTCATGGTATTACGATTTCCTGTGTGAGTCAACGTACTCCCCTATATACAGTCGAGCACGGATGTGTCGAACTCTGATAACTCGATATCTCGGTTGTCCCGATATAACATCTCGGTCCCGACAAAATCCTTCATAATTTATCATTGTTGAAGCTCTTTTAACTCGATACGGATGTCTCGAAGTTCGGATAACTCGATACTTTTTCTTGGTCTCATGAATATCGAGACAACGGTGCTCGACTGTATGTATTCAATTATATCTATATTATATAAATTTATTCATCATATATCTATACACTAAATATATATAACCGTATAATGACTGTATTATTGTACACTGGCATGGCAAGAAATGGAACTGGTGATTAGAACCAGTAACATATATGACCGCCTACCCAAGAAGCTTCATCACAGCTAGAACTGACATTTGTAGCCCTTTAGTCTGTTCTAATCACAAGGGATATGTATTTCAAATCACGAACTATGAAGAATCTTTTCAATATTGTCAGTTCTCATTTAATTGTTTTGTATTTTGTTTTGTTTTTGTTTTTGTTTTTTTTTATTCATGACATATAATATACATTGCTGGTTATGAAAAAAACAACATATAAACAAAATTATAAGCGTACAATCGCAAATCAAAAGTGCAATATTTTGTACCCTTTTTTTCAGACGGAAAGAATTTGAAAAGAGAAGGATAGCGGTATAGACACAGGGTGCAGAAAGGTTTTACTCACAAGGGAACAAAGAATTCCATTTCTGACGAAATTGTTCATCCTTTTCTCCGAAAATATGTTCTTCTAGTTTGAAATGGTATTTTATGAAATATATAAGCTGGTTGATATTTAATTCCGTAAAGTCATATCTTGTTTTGTTAATATATTTCTTGATAATGATAAACAGATGGTTAATAAGGACAGGTGCTTCCGGGTCTCCCAGCAGGAAATGTTCAACATTTATACTTATATTACAGCTAGTTTTGTACCGATACCACTCAAAAATGTTGAGAGAAGGTGTTTTGTTTTTTCACAGAAATAAAATAAATGTTCTAAAGTTTCTATTTCTTTGTTGCAGAGGGTACAGGCATTATCATCACTGATACCTATCTTACACAAAAATGACTTAGTTGTAACTATTCGATGAATCAGTTTATACTGAAAATTCCTGGCTTTATTTTCTATGGTAATTTTATTTATCAGTGCAAAACAGTCACAAAGATAGTCATCTGCTAGAGTAATATTAAGTTTGGTTTCCCATTTCCGCTGAAGATTATAGAGAGAGCTTCCTTGACTTTCACATAGCTGAGTATATATCACAGGACCAAAAACCTGATAGTAAACCATTGAAATAAACGTAAATACAGTAGGAAATACATGCCATGACCGGATTTACGTATGTTTTCAGATATTTCCTAACTTCGGGCATATATTTCATATGAATCTATACCTTTGAAACATATGCTCATCGTACATTTTCGTATGCACATGCACCTCGTTCATGTATGCCCTGACCGGATTGTCGGGGATTTCCAAACATGAATTGCAAAACAGATACCCCAGTAAATACATGATCATACAGTATTTCCAATGCATTCCTTTGAATTTCAATGGGTGCTGAAATTTCCGATCTCGTTCTAAGTTTCCTCGGGTTGGAAACATGTGAATTTACTTAGGTGGGGAAACACATGTAAATTTTCAAATTTGCAAATATTTACACACCTTAGATATTTATGTATCATACCGGATTTCAGGGGTAGGTATATGAACGGTTTATACACCTTCATCTTACCTGTACTCAAGCAAAATGATCAAATGTTTCCATCATGTGAATTACTTGGTTCATGTAATTTCATTTTCACACATTTTAGTACGTTTGAAATCAACGTTCACATGACCTCAATATTCTTATCACCAAAAGAGCCTGACAAAGAAAGCAGTATTACGCAAGTTCACACGCCTTATCAAGCTGCACTCGCTCTAGCTACCAGTATCAGTTACGCCTTGTCTGCGGTGTTGGCAAATCTTGTGAGGTGCATGTTTCGAGGGATTAAAAGGTTCAGTGGTGAACAAAGGGCGATGCGTTGCCCCTTTGTGCTCGCAAGTGTCCCTAGCTGTCCCAATAGAATAGCACTTTGTCGCTCTTGGAGCACAGCCAAATATGCTACACGTGACCACAGTGCCTGAACAATGTTATTTCTCCATTCGCCCAGCCTTTGCTGAAATAGCGCCATACATAAACTTAAAGTTGTCCACATTTGTTTCACTAACGCAAAAGTATACGATAATAAACAATGCCATATCAAATTATATATTCTGTGAGACATGAAATGAAAAATTGCTTTTATCGTGTAGCGATTATGACCGGATAGCACAGGCGAGTGCGTTCTCTGAGTATATCATAGGGGTGTTGGATCTTCGTGCCTGTTGTGAAATTCGTCTATATTGTCCTGTTTAAATTGACGATCCATAACTCAGATTGCGAGTAAATATCACGTAAATAATTGTAATGTCGCATTGCTGTAAATTTCCCTGTCGGAGAACTCATTCTCACAAGATATATATTCCCTTGTTTGGAGAAGATCTATGGCTATTACGCCCCAGTGTTGCTAAACATCTTGTAGGCCTTTAGTCTGATACAGACGCAGACGTCGCATGTTCAAGTTCAGATCTGACAGGGGCTGAAAATATCATTCCGACATGAACACAATATCTCAGTGTTTTCCTAAGTAAGTGGAGTGCTTTCTACAACATTGGAAATAACTGTATCGTTGTCCTTCTGATATTCCCGGGGCGATGGGGTAGCCTAGTGGTTAAAGCGTTCACTCGTCACGCCGAAGACCCGGGTTCGACTCACTCACTCACTCTGATATTCCCCCGAACGGAAGCTCTACCCATGTAGGGTACAATGTGTAATTTACAGAATTGTAGGGAATAGTCTTAAGACTTTTCTACTTTGACCACGATTCTTTGAACTTGTAACAGTCGTTGGAGATAACCAAAAGAGAAAATGGTAGTGCGCGATGTATCTGACGGACGTATATGGAGAACTTTCGAAGGACTTTATAAATACAATAATAGAAATACCGGTTATGTTTAAAACGTACCCTCAATCTGATAGCCAGAGGGATAATTGTGAAAGATCGCAGTATGTATCATCATAAACGGGCCAAGATAAAAGTACATGTCATTCATCCCCACATTATATCCCTTTAATAGACACGGGACATGGTTGTTACAGGTAGGGCAAACACTTTTTTCTAAAGGTATCTTCCGGTTTCACGCTACATACATGTGTTCAGATTATCGAGAAAACTAGCGACGCAAGTTCTCCTCCATCACACCAGAGACCATACAATCTATCATATGGCCTTTGATCACACATATAATTGTATAGATACCCAGTGTTTATTGATAGCGATGAAGCAGCTTATCAAAATTTACGGCCGACAGTATCATCTGCATTACTCTCACAGGGTTGTCATGGTAACGATAATTTGGCATACTATTTATTGTGTTATTCTTTAATCTGCGATTAGAATTTAAATCAGTTTTGACGTGAGCATGTTAAGAAAAGAGAAGCTGTAAAACGAAATGTATTGTGATCGAACCTATAGGCCTTTGTAAAAGCGAGTTTCAAGCCACCTACATAAAAAGCTGTTTTCATGATAAATATCTGCTAATCCTTGGCACGATTCCGACCATATCGTGGGCATGTGTTTGTGAATCATAATCAAATAGTGATGTTACAAGGCGTCCATGGCGCGTCAACAACACATGCAAACAGGGGCGTAGCTACCAATATAAATAACAGCTCGAGCTTACACATGATCTTTGCTAAAAAATAATTTGTCTTCTAATTCTTGCCAAAAATACCTACAAACACGTTCCATTTAAAAAGTGGAAATAACTCTTTGAATCATACTGACTACACTATTCTTTGATTAAAGAATTACATGTACAGTAAACAGGTTATTCTTCACATCATAACTTTCGGTGATGATTGTTTTTCCATCGACAAGTATGAGGATGTATTGTTACAATCATGATTATATGTGAATCATCACTGTAATGGAGTTGTTTATTTTTCATTTGTTTATCATTTATTTTAGTAAAAACACCAAATACTCGATGTATGGTATTGTATCAATGCAGCAGACATGTGTAAACTATGTCCAAACATATTTGTATATGAGGAAATCACATTTCAATTTCGACAATATTTTAAAGCCATTGAAATCATCAAAGGTCAAACGATAACTCTTCAAGTCTCATAAAAAATGAAAGTTGGGCAAGCCCTCAATACCACCTATAATATAAATCTTTGCAGCCCATAGGGCTTACATGAAAAATATGGCTTGCTACGCGCCTGGCAAACGCACGAGAATTGCAATACGGGCCTCTAAGCACTGATTCTCCGTGACCGTGAGACGCATGTGACTGAACGTATGTTGGGACGTCGTCTGTCATACAGACCCTGAAGCAAATATATCCAAGCCCACGCAAGTCTACAAAATGTGGCAAGTCTAGATTTCCACAGCTTCAGGAGAAAGTCTCAGGGCTCCTTTTCATTGTATTATATATTGTTTTATACTATGAACTTTGAACTCTGTAAAATATGTTCATATCAGAGACTAGTTGTTAATCTAGTTCTGACGGGTAGAAGACAAAAGACAAAATGGATACTAGTGCTGTTACTATTTATTAATTATATATAAACATTCGTCCTTGTCTCGGGATGAATGTTTATTTTCCACCAAATGTACATTCGGAGGATATCGAAATCTAGGTTAAGCTATTTGAATCATATTCGCAATTAAAACACCCAAACAATGGTTTGTTGTTCCAAATTTTGGTTTTCCATATCTTGTCCCAGTCTGTATCACAGTCACAGAACGATATTTTTCCTCTTCCGTCTCTAGCAAAAATCACTGCAGGGTTCGGGTTATGGAGTGCCATACCAAACACCCACAGCTGGCGGGACCAACATCTCCAGTAACATTTACATCTGCCAACGCTTAATTCGCAAGTGGTGAGACAATAAGCTAATGAGGCTAAGGGTTTGTGAAATATCTATGATGCCTTATATGAAGTCTATCATCTAAGCAAGTCTAGCTATGTATGGCGTTGTCACTGCTTGAAGAAAGACTCCTTTAGAATTTTATTTGGTAAATACATGTATTAGTATTTCCATCCTATTGGAAAATACATAGACTAACGCTTAGTGTCTGAATATATATAATTTTGATAGTGACAAACAAACCTATTTAAAATGAAAAGGAGCCCCAGGGAGACACGAGATTCAGTCCGGCCAGCCATGGCAGTTAGATATGTTTACTTTGTAACCCGACACCCAAAGTGAGTTAGGTTTCTTGCAGATGTTAACAGACCCTGGACCTGAGGAGATCTCGACTTGCTTCATTAAAGACTTTAGCATTGCAGAGAGGGCTTGGCAGTAAGGGAAATAATGTGGTTCAGGGACTGTGAGACAGACTAAGCAGTAAGGAAAATAATGTGGTTCAGGGACTATGGCAACCTACACTTCATTGTGACTATGATTAAAGCATCATTTTAAAACACAAGGGTTATTTCCTTTGCGTTAACTGACAGGCTTTCGGTGTCAAATTATTTGGAACTCCGGCCAAATGTGATGTTATGCTGTCTGGAAATATGGCCTTTTTGCAATGCTTTTGTTGCACATAATGATAAGTGATTGTTGTACGTATGATGTTTTTGAAGGATAATCTCAGCTGACTAATACTTTGCACGTGTTTCCCCCCACTCTTTCCATACCCGTAAAAGTTAATTTTCCATATATATGTCTGTAAGAAAATACTGTAAAGTAATGGGATGGCTGAATTTGGCCACCTGAGGTAGTGACCACAGCACTCTGGTTATACTGCATTCAGAGAGGGCAGAGCTTGGCAAGATGCCAATAAATATGCTTGTCATTTAAATCTTTATCTGATGTTTGTGGAATGTGATTTTATAATTGAAGATGCTTCCTGCAGAGGTAGCCCCAATATAGATGTTGTTAATCTGTGAATCTTCCAAATTACTTCGTCTCTCTTTTTCAATTGAAATTAAGATCTTTGCCTTATATCAAAATAATATAGTTTCAGTCTTAATGTGCCTATGTCGGGAATCAAACACCGGTTTTTGACCTGACAGGCGAACGCTTTAACCACGAGCGTACCCCATGCATCATTCCTTGATACTGTTAAAGATTATACATTGGTACATTTATCATACATTCAAGATTGAACCCAGTTTTGTCACCATATATCCTTCAGTTTTTATGTTAGTGATCTGCACACTGATAATTCAAAAAGAGAAATATAAATAATGATTGTTTGCGATCTTTCTCCAATTTAGTTTTCCATTGATCTAGTAATTTTCAATTTCTATTTCCTGGAAATTCTGTACGAAGGTACTTTTAACAGTTTCACCCAATAACAGTAAAGCATACAGATAATACGTTTCGGTACTTTGATAGAATAAAAAGTACACATTATATTTCATGATATTGAGATACCAAAATGATTAACATAATTACATAATGTATAACAAATTAGACAGCAAAAAGCAAAAGCAAAAAAGAAAACGCATGAGCAACATAAATGCTGGCAGGTTGTAAGATTTCAATAATTATCGAAACTGCTTAGTTATGAGCTAGTTGCAATCACTACAATTTTCTATAGTCTACCCAAGAGATGGAAACAAAATAGGTCTATTATGAAAATTATGAGCTAATTGCAATCACTGCAATTTTCTATAGTCTACCCAAGAGATGGAAACAAAATATGCCTACAGTATATTCCGTCGGGTAACTGAAATTTGAGAAAGCGTCCGTAATACCTGTATTCCGAACCAAAAAGAGGTCATACCAAGTATGTGCATGTTCACACATTTACAACAGTAATTTACACCGGGAATCCTTAATACATTGTAATCATCTTTTTGAAAGTATAGATCAGGAAATTTGTTCAGTTATGATCAGTCGGATAACTCATACAAGTGAGCACTAAAATTAGGGACCTACCGGTTCATGTCTGTGTGAACACATCTGTCTGTGTTTAATTGTAATTAGCAGTGTCTCCTTGTATAGCATATATAAGAAGTGTACCTAAGGTCAGTTATATAAACTGTCATGTAATTTCCATTACAAAAAGTATAAACGATATTACCTACTGGTCAGAAAGACTTATCAGTACCCCAACACCGACCCACCGCCAACACCCCACCCTAGACCTACCCCATGCCACACCCTCTCCCTCGCACACACACTAACACACACACACACACACACACACACACACACACACACACACACACACACACACACACACACACACACACACACACACACACACAACACATACACACACACACACACTCCCTAACATACATATCGCTCTGGCCCATAGACCCGATATTTGAACCTTTTAAACAGACACCATGTGTATGTCAAGAAAGACACGCACGTTATTAGTGGTGCTCAGTCATGGGTATCACTTCACCATGTGTTTCTAATTGGCTCAGTACATTATGGCGTGCTCGGACGCGCTAACGAACCCTATGTGACAGTTACATTACAGAACCATTGAAATACATGTTAAAGTAGTGCTAATCTTGTAACACTATATTTACTCATTTCCAACCATTTACACATGTACTAAATATATGACAAATCTAACCCTGGTCATACGAGATTTCAAGGGTATTGAAATGCATGTCCTACTATCACAGCATTTACATATGTTACACATGTTAGGAAACACATGAAAACAATGGCCAGATTTACACACCTGTGAAATACATGTAAATGCAGAGTTGAATGTTGGTTAATTTTAACACCCCTTTAAACGTGTGTAAATCTGACGGCCAGATGATACGTAGATTTCAAACGTTGTTCATATGGCCGCCGGATGAAACGAATATTTCCTGGCGTTAGTAAATTTGGGTAATACAGTCATTTTGTGTGGTGTATGAATTTACAGTTAGCTGACTTGAGTATTTGTGTGAGAGTATTACACTGAGTGTTTACTGATTCTCTCTTTTGATTTGTGTCTCTGATGGCATTGATCCAGTGTTTGGGTATATATTTAAAAAATCTGAAATAAAGGAGATATGTTTCTTTAAGGTTAAATTCTTCTTTAAGCGTATCATAGGACTTGAACTCACCGTTGTTCGAGACAATGTCTTTCATATATTTCATGCCTTTTTTTATCCATGAGACGAACAACCCAATATCGGTAACAGGTACAAAATTAAGAAGTGGCAAGCACATAAAATCTTCAACACTTTCACTAATTTTAGAATGGATACATGCATAGCATGAAACAACATCTTTCCAAAAGTATTTTTTTATATTTTTGGAGTAGGATTGTATTTTTTCCACTTGAAAGTTGAATAGATTAATGTCACCAAAAGGTGATAATGTCTCAAATGCTAGGTGCTGCCACAACCCCTTTGATGTCAGTAATCTCCTTATCCATTTGATTTTCATGTACTTGCAGAATGATATAACATCGATCATTTTTAAGCCACCCTTACAGTAGTCGTTTATCAACATTTTCCTTTGGATTTTATCACGCTTCCCACCCCAAATAAACGTAAAAAGTATAGTGTTCAAACGTTTGAAAAAGAGTTTAGAAGGATTAGGGAGGGCGATGAACAAGTGTGTAAAAAGGGGGATAATTTGAGTTTTAATTATCGTTAATCAAAGTTAATGATCTATTTGACCACGAGAATAATATTTTTCTAATTTTTGAAAACTGCGGTTCGAAATTTAATGTAATCATTTCTTCTAAATTGGTTGAAAAAATTATTCCCAGGATTTTAAATGGTTCTTTGGACCAACGAAGAGGTATATATGGGCAAAGTTGTTCATTTGTGTCTCGTTTGGACCCTATCCAGACAGCTATAGTTTTATCACAGTTTAAATTTAGACCAGATACTATTGCAAATGTTTTAATAATATGAATTAGCTCTGACAGTCCTCGTTCAGATCCATCTAAAGTGAAATTAATATCGTCTGCGTATTGGAAGATGAGATATTCTATTTCTTTTATAGTAATACCATTGATATGCTTATTAGATTTAATAGCAATAGTCAATAGTTCGACACATGTTACAAAGAGATATGGCGCTACTGGGTCTCCTTGACGACATCCGCGTCCTAAGGAAAAGAAGTTCGACAACGAACCCGATAAAATTGAGGCACTACAGCTATTACGCTGAAAGAGTTTAATCCAATTTCTAAGTACCGGGCCAAAATTAAATACTTCCAGTACCTTGTCAATAAAGTCCCATTCGATAGTATCGAATGCCTTCTCAAAATCTATTGCAACTAAAAGACCAGGTAGTTTATATTCTTCACAATAATTCATTAAGTCATATAATATTCGAGTATTTTCTCCTAGAAATCCATTTTTTAAGAAGCCTGTTTGAGTTTCACTTATTATCTCAGGAAGGACTTCTTTCAAGATGCAATTTTGTAATCTACATTTAGAAGACTTATAGGTCGCCATTTTTTTAAGTATCGCCTATCACGAGAGTCTTTAGGCAAACACGTTATGATACCTTGTCGTTGAAAGTCTGACAACATTCCAGATTCGTACGCATATGTAATGGATCGCCAGAGAAATACACCTATGTCTTTCCAGAAAAATTTATAAAACTCTGCTGTGAAACCATCCGATCCAGGACTCTTTCGATTCTTCATACTATTTAAGGCTCGTGTACATTCATCTAGCGTAAGTGTATTTTCACAAGATTCGCGTTGATCATTTGATAATTTCTGGTCATAATTTTTCGTAAAAACATCTAGGTAATCTTGCCAATCTTTTGCGTGTTTACTTGTGTATAGATTGCAATAATATTCTGAACATTCTCTCAATATGTCTTCCTTTTCCGTCAGAATTTCATTTTCTGTTATTATTTCATTCATGTTCTTATTTATATAGTTTCTCTTTTCTAAGTTCATAAAATATTCAGTATTCTTCTCTCCCTCTTCATACCATTTGGCCTTCTCCTAAATATGATTCCTTTTATTTTTGCTGTCCTAATAGTTTCGAGTCTTTCTTTTTTTAAACACAATTTTGTATGATCATCACTACTTAATATTTGGGATCTAGCCTCCATTTCATAGATTTCACCTTCCAGCGTCTTTTCTTCTTTTTCAGTTTGTTTTTTTTCATTTTAATTGAATATTCAGTTGTCTTAGTTCTTATCTTCATTTTTAATATTTCGAAAAATACTTGATCGTTTACTGATAATTCAATACCTTCTAAATTGTCGATGTTTCCGGTAATACAATATTCGTCACTATTTCCCGTATCGTTTGCTTGACTTGTGTTACATAATCATTGTCATACAATAAAGATGGGTTGAACTTCCAGTAACCCGGTCCACGTTCTACTGGACTAAGGGCAAGTTCTAAGGAAATAATAGAATGATCTGATCTGTAACTTACATCTATAGAAGTACGTTTAACTAGGGACATGAGCTCTTCAGAGACGAGGAAATAATCGAGCCTACTCTGTTTTACTCCATTCCTTTGACGCCATGTGTACTGCTGTTTATCAGGATTGAAAATTCTCCACGGGTCAACTAAGCCTAGTTTTGTTTTTATGTCGACAGTTTTCATATATGCTTCAGGATTATTTCTATGTTTTAAATTATAAGTGTCCAAATTATAATCCTGAACTACATTCCAGTCACCGCCCCAAATAATCGCTCCAGGTAATTGTTCTAATTCATTGGCAGGATCTTGAAAGAATTCAGGATTATCCTTATTTGGTCCATAGATATTTGTAATTAAGAACCGAATACTTTCTATTGTCATATCCAGTATGATAAAACGTCCATTTTCGTCCAAAATGATTTCATGCACTTCATATTCAAAGTTATTTTTAATCAGTATTAATGTCCCTGCACTATTACTGGTTCCATGTGAGAAGTAACATCTGTAGCCCCATTCGGCTGCCCATGTCTGTTCATTTTCTAAAGTACTATGAGATTCTTGAATATGTTCAGAATAGCATTATTTTACCCAAAATCTTTCGTCTTAATGTAAAAGTTTTCGTTTACGAGGGCGTTATCCATTTCCATTGGTGGCTTAGGTCACGTGTCTCATTTTGACCAATCACGACCCTTATAAGCAGACTGTAGTGAAAAAGCGTCGTTAGAAACCAATCTTTATCCAATAAAATCGCTTCTTACAAATGTGAAAATACTCTCGGCAAGAGTACAGTGATATTGTTGATGTTCAGAGCTTTCGTACGATACCCTCCATCAAACGATTCGTCTCTACGTAAGTGACACGTGCCACTCACTAATTAACAAGAAACTGATTGACACTTCCCGTTTCTGAATAATCTCGGTAGTCAATACCCGCGAATCAACAAAATGTACACATTTGCCTGTTTTTACAGTCAAACTGCCCACTACATGTATTAATGACTCTATGTAAGTGGTAAGTACCACTCACTGATTAAAAAGATACTGATTAGCACTTCCCGTTTCTGAATAATCTCGAGAGTCACAGCGAATTGTGCTGTTACATCATTTGGACCTAATTGCATCAAAGGGTTACGCTGTCTTTCATGTGCCGGTTTTTACAGATTCGTTTTCATAACAACTTGTTCGTTGGGACTGAAAAACAATGCTGACATCCTGAATAGACAGATGCCGATGTTTACAGATGTTTCTAATTGATAATTACATGCATGTCTGCCGGGACTGAAACTTTGTGCCGATGTAGACAGAGTGCCGGTGTTTACAGAGGCCGGTATTGACAGAGTCCACTGTAAATATTATAGATGATTTCCTATTTCGTACGAAATTAAAAATATCTCTACGTTTTATGCTGTCCGACTGGAGGCCCCTGGCATTCATAGATAAAATACACAAATTACTCATGTCTTATTTTTAATAAGTGAGTAGAACTGAGTGAGTGTGCGAGAGAGAGTAAGAGAGAGAGAGAGAGAGGGGAGCGGGAGGGGTAGTTTGACAGAGAGGAGTAAAGAGAGAGAGGAGGTGGGGAAGGGGGTAGTAGGCAGAGAGGGAGTAAAAATAAAATAAGAATGATTGGTAATCCCTTTGACATTTGCCCAATTTACACAACATACTTTTACATCTTAATCAGCATATATCAGTAACTTATCATGAACTACCTTCATATTAGTGGTAAAAAAAAGTCACAAATAAGATAATGAACGGTATCTAACACTTTGTCGTTGAAGTCTGTTGAGTCTATCACCAGTTACTGATTCTCGTCACAGGAGGGAATGAACAGATGATCATGGAACACATTTGGTTGTATACCGCCAATAAGCTGTCTCTTCCTACGCTGTCCATGTGGGGCAGTATGGGTATCCAATGTAAACAAAGAGTCCCTAGAACTAAAAAACTAAAGGGAGTTTAGTTCAGGCTATATTCGACAACACAAGTAAAAAGATCGGTTAAATTCGACCTCGCGCGCAATGTTCTTGGGGCGCGTTTAACAGTTACGTTATCCTTACGTAACACCGATGTATTGTCCACTATGTTAAATGAAACGATACAGTCAATCACTTTCGGTTTATAACCTTGTCAATGTCGTCGCAGGGGTTAAACTTGAACCTTTTGCCCGTCGTGGTTGTCGTTGCGTAAACCCGCCCGTTGAAATACCAAGCACTTTCAATCCCAGCGTGACTCTTGAGTCTGTTTATGAGGACAACGTTAGTTTTAGTAACATCATCGGCTAACTTCGACTCCGACTTCTCCCGAATCTGTTTCCTCAAGCGAATAACTTGGCCTTTTGCCTCTGAAGATGTGAATTTTATTAACACCGGTTTTGTAATTGACTTGTTGGCATGGTCAATTCTATGAATAGCCAATATATCATCCTGGTTTACATCAAAGTTTGCTTTACTTTTCATCAATTCCGTGAATCTTTTTCACACATCTTCACCTTCAGATTCGGGTAAATTGAACACTTTGATATTGTTCTTTCTGGAGAATTGCTCGTTTTGATTACTCTGTCTAAAAGCTTCGTTTGCACGAGAAGCTACTTCAGCAAATTTCGATTCCATTTCATCCATTTGCGTTTGTTTTTTTTCTAAGTCTTTTCGGAGCTTTTCGTTTTCGTTCTTTAAGACCATCATATCAGTTTTAACCTCGTCTATGCCCACTTTGGAGATCACAGTTTCCGTAATTTCGTCTTTCAACTGCTCTCTTAATGAGTCAAAGTATTCGTCGACCACCGACTTCATTAGTTGTTTTATGTCATTTTTCGTAGGCATTTCTGATAAAAGATGACGAAATTCCTGCATATCTGCATTAATTTCTGTCAAATCTGGTTTTTGCTTAGGTGGCATTGTTAATGAATAAATTGCAAAGAAGACAACACACCTGTAGCACGCACTGCACGGTATCTTTCACCTCTGACCCGTCGGATGGGATTTACACGTGGTTAAAGTTTTCCTTTCAAAAACACAGTTTCTGACCAAAAAAATCACAAAAGCTCACATCAGTAGTGTCAGTAGCTTATGCACTTACTTCTCAGTCCATTTGGTTCTTAGGAAGGGCACTCCAAATAATAACTTTGGGCTTTTTGTGAGAGTTGTGATTTCCCGCGTCTGCACATAGCCAGCCAAGGGAGACAATCTTCTCATTTAATTGTTGCATTTTTAAAAGAAATAGATTTGTTAAATGATTTGTAAATAGATACATATTTTATTATTGGTAGTTTGAATTAGTCGCTGGGATTGTAAGTGGCTCTGCTCTCAAAGGGGGTTGAAGTAGTGTAAAATTATTGTCCTCCTGAGAGGCTACGTAAGTCCCAGATCATTTCAAGTCATTTTAAGTCTACCAGGTTTTTAATCGTAGTATTTTGTGTTTTTAATGTATGGATAAATCTCAGCATAAACGCCAACGGCTGAAGGGATGGTGTAAATCCAGCTGGGGTCCATGCATGTAGCAAAAGTAATGTAAGTCCCCATGGTCCCTAGTATGGTAATCTACTTTCAGTTGTTGGCGATCAATAGCCCATTTTAATATTGTATTGTCCAAATATAATGTTTCTACTTTTACAGATATATGCTAGCTAGTTTTACCTCACTTGTGACAACCTAGTAATTTTACTGTCCTTCGTTGACAGGGTTTTATATATTATTTGTATGTATTATGAATTTGGAACTGGTCACGATATGGCTGAAATATTGCCGATGTGACTTTGAATCTTAACTCACTCACTCACTCACTTTAGTCTGTTCTCTCACTCACACACACACACGCACGCACAAACACACAAACAAACACACACACGTGACATGTTTGTGGACACGTTTATTGTTGTATCTGTGTCCCCATGATCGAAAATTTGTTTCTTCTCGAAAAGAACTTCCGATGTCCCGTATGTGTCCAATTGGGAAGCCAGTATATTTTCATTCACTCGCTTTCACCTGTCATAATCCACAAATATTCGCTCGTTTCACAAAACTGGTATTGTCATAACTGCATGTGGGGTGTCATGTGTCCATATTACAGTTACCTACTCGTATTACCGTCACACGGGGTCAGGGAAGATGAAAGCCATGACTACATTGGCAACTAACAGAACAGCGCGAAAAGCGAGATGCACGTGTGTAAACGGGTTCTCAACAAACGTTTGAGCTGGCGAGATGACACGTACCCCAGCTGCACAGGCAATGCGCTGTATATACTTAGTAATTCCATACTTGATTCACCCCTTGTCATTTTCATCTTTGAAAAAAATCACAGACTTTGTGAATTATAGACCTTTTTATTTTTGTGACACAAATTGTGCAATTGGTCTGTTTGTTTTGTGTTAGATTGCAATTAATCGGTATCATTTTGTCTCAAACGGAGTGTAAGCAATCGCCTGGTCCGTCGTGGTTGCCATGTCAAGAGTGAGAGTTCGGACGACCGTGACTCATATCAACATCACATTCCTGTAATGGCGCACATTCATGCAAATGCTTCGATTGCTCGTTTGATGGTTGCTTGACGCTGCTCTCAACAATATTCCAGCTAAACTGAGGTACAAAAGAAAGTACACACCTGGTGTTTTGGGATTATTTGAAAGTGTTGGGTTTTTAACTGTCAACTTCGGTACGATATCTGTGGTGCTTTGGCAACATATTAGGAATGTCTGTGACTTATATATCACTGTAAAAACTGAAAACATTTACGTCGCTTTATGGAAAGTAATCCAAAACCACCAGGTGTGTACTTTCTTTTGTACGTCAGTTCATATGGCGGCGATCTGTAAATATTCGAGTCTGGACCAAACAATCTAGTGATCAACAGGATGAGTATCGACCTACGCAATTTGGATGCCTCTTACGACAAGCACGGGTTGATGAAGCGCAATTCTAACCTGGATCTTCACGGGTCCATTCATGCAGAAAGTAACGCAACCCGCTTCAGGTTTCATTCGAGCCTGACTTTGATCAAATGGCTTAATACCTCAATGTGATTGGCTTAATTATGCCATCAGACTTTGACCTCATGCCAATATCGTGCCTGACAATTTCCAGAACCCACATGACCAATTCAGCGTCTCTATCACCTTACTCTCACGATAGATTCCTAGTGTTTTATACGTTAACACGCACCTTTCCGTCGCCCGTGACGTCATGGCGATTGTTGAATATCATTATGACGATAACCTTTGCATGGGTGAGTCAGTGCGTATGGTTTTGCGCCGTCTTTAGCAAATTGTCTTGCAATATGGACTTCAAACATTGTACCCATGTGGGAAGTCGAACCCAGGTCTGTAAGCGAACGCAGTAACCACTACCCAACCATTGTTTTAAGTCAAGGGGCTTGTGATGCTTTTTATAACCTTATAACAGTTTTTCGAGTTTTACTTTTCTGTATGCAGCATCTCTCCATTCCGCAATACGCAAGCATCCGCCAGTGTGTATGTTTGTCTGAATAATCACCTATCGCCACTTGCAGTTGTTTCCTTGTTTCGCTAAGAATAAGTCCAGGAAGTCAATTTGAAGTGATATGCTTTTATTGATAAAACCTTTTTAGCTTCAGTCATATGCAGTACATAATCACCCGATTTTATAGTGTCTACATAACATCTGTACAATTTAATTAAAACGCAAGAATGCGAAACAAAACAAAATGACTATTTCAAAATAGAATGTTTGGTTCCCAAAAATGTGCTTCTTCCTGAGAGTACGGGTTCGAATCCCGGACGGGACTCAACCTAACAAATTAAAAATACTGGTTTCTGTACTTTACGGAGAAAGTATGACATGTTGCATTTGACCAAATTCTAAATGGCGTTGTGTATTCATGCTTTGGAGAGTTACCTAGCTACAGCAAACTTCACATCACTACATGCATCTGATCTGGTAAATCTGAACATTTGTTTAAATGGCCTGTTTGTCCATAAAATGATATTTATTTTTAGAATATTCTTACACACACACACACACACACACACACACACACACACACACACACACACACACACACACACACACACACACACACACACACACACACACACACACACACACACACACACACACACACTCTAAGAGATATGAGAGAGAGAGAAACCAGAATCTGAGTATCACGGGTCGACGTGCTTTATTCACCATGATTTCTCCATGTCAAGGTTATTAAAGGCTCATGGCCAAATATGCACAACCTTTTCAGGACCGTGATCCCACATCAATTAGATGCACCTTGACAATTGCAATATTCGTCACAGCGGCGTTGGAAGCACAAGTGGCGCACGCATCAGCGGCGCCACAATTAACTGTAAAGAGTTGCCTCCCTTGCAAACGCCAAACCCCTTGACCGTGGGTTCGAATCCCGGTTTTTCAGACCTTGAACCCCTGAATTAAATGTTACCTGTGACAACAAAACATTACCCCATCCTCTGTTAGCAAGTTCGGTTTGATTATTACTTCCTTTCTGCAAGCTAACATACTTAAGTTCAATGTTTCTATCAAGATGTTTCATTTCCTCAAATTCTTAGAAAATGTCTCACACCGATCAGTCCACTACTGATCAAACCTCCAAATATTTGACACAGTCTTCTAAAGTACCGGTTGCAGTTGCATCTTAAAAGACATCACATCACACATGTTGACGAACTTCAAGTTAAAAAAAGGCCAACAGAGGCAAAGCTTCGTTTGGCCTTCAGCAATATTTCAGCAATACCCGGGTTACAACAGGTCTTCAGCAACCTAGGATAGGAGGCGACTACCTGGATCGGGTGGTTAGGCTCCATGACGTGGTTGATGCATATCATTATCCACATTTCGTAGAGTGCGGAAGGTCACGGGTTCGATCCCCGACCACGTCATACCAAAAGACGTTAAAATATGGTACTTGTTGGTTCCTGTCTTGCGCTCGGCATTAATGGGTACAACAAGGGCTGGTCGGCTCGGAGTCGGTATAACGTGTTTGAGTTGGGTATCCATGCTTCACTGCGGCATGGTATCTCAGTGGGCTAGTACTATAAAACCAGCTTCAGTCTGGGCAAGTACAAGCAGCCGCACATACACATACACACGCATGCACGTCGTCGAAATATTCTCAAGCACAACGTTAAACCCAGTTCCACCACCACCATATTTCGTAGATCGATGCTCATGATGTCACCCACTAGATTGTACGGTACATGCCTGGTTAGTTATCGATCACCGTAATGCAGCTGGAATATGTTGCAATAAAACAGCAGAAAACCTGCAGGTTACACAAAGAGTTTACTGCACTGATCACTCCCCAACGTAGTACAAACCAAAGAAATTCGATGGCGGATACCGGTAGACATGTGACATGTTGCTGGCAGTTACAGACACGTGGTCATCCTGCCTCAGTCGGACTGTAGCGGACAGATAACTCGTGACGAACCTCTCGCTGACTTCCGGTAATGTCTTCTTGGCCATGAGCAGGAGAGGGCTCACATTCGGCAGATGGGCGTTGACTCTTCTCATGGTGTGTAAGAAGTTTTCGGGACGTCGACGTAGTTGGTGCGTTTTTAACGTTAAGAAAGAGTATATGTGATAAAGGCCAGGTTTAGTTACGCTAAGACTTTGGCCATCTGTACTGATGTCGATGCTTTTGTAGGCCGAGCCATAACCGTACTCCTGAGTCCATTGCAAGGAAGGCGCTGAAAAATAGAGGGAAGGAATTTTAGTATGAAATGTTGGTTGGTTGGTTTGTTGTTTAAAGCCACACTCAGGTGGCCGTCTCATCTAGAAATAAAAAAAATTCCATGTTCTATCCAATGGGCTATATTTTAAAACTCGGGTTTTAATCTCTAAGAGACATAGTCAGGGTTAAATCCTAAGCATTCATTTCTTCGTAACTAACGTCGCACTCAGATAAATGGTGACGGTCTGTATATAATCGAGGCTGGACCAGACGATCCAGTGGTCAACAGCATGAGTATCGACTGCGCAGCTGGGATGTGATGACTTGTGTCAACCATGTCAGCCAGTCTGAGCACCGGATCCCGTTACTCGCATCTTACGACAAGCGTGAGTTTCCTGAACACCAGTTCCAACCCGGAAGTATAAAATGTATTGCTATTTTAATTGTTTTGAACATGAACACTACACTCACATAGCATTACAGGACACATGTAATAGAATTAGGAAGATTCTTGTTCTGGGAATATTTACTTCTTCACATTAAGATTTATGTTTCTGGAAGTTAGGCATGGACAACATTTTGCAGCCTTGGTGGAATCAAAGTCAACTTTTGACATGACATTTAAGAATCCAGTAATCGGATTGGTCGGATTGGTAACTGAAGCTAGCGGTTCCGAATCTAAATAGGATTTCCACTCTCTGTCCCCAAAGGAAATGATTTACTTGACAATATTATCTCGCACATTCTATAAATGGGCCGTTTGTAATTCTGATCTGATTTGAATCAAATTTAATGGCAATGAGTGCATGTACGAAATATCAAGCTGACCACACGGTAGATATGATGCAAGCTATACGTACTTCCAGATTTCAGTGCCTCGCTGTCGACGTATAGGTGAGCTCCAGTGCTTTGGGTAGTCTTTGATGCTTCACTTGGGACTGTGCCTGTTTGAGTGTGTTTGTAGAACCTGTTCGTGAACTTGAAACAGATAAGGATTCTTAATAATTGTCCGGTCACTGTTTCTGCATGTTTTAACTATAGTCGGTCAATCTAACTTTTGCAACATGTTGGGTTTTTTGCAAGTTACCATCGGAATCTGAATCTGAATATTGATATGTTCTCTCAACATGGTAAGTCTTCACTTTCTCACCTTGTAATCTTATGATGTTTTATAATCATATGAAATGCGTGCCTTTACTTTTCAATACAAATGAATAAGGAAAGACATATGTCTAAAATGAAATTAATTTGGTGATACGGTCCCTTCTCAACATGACCTTACACAATCCTGCACGTGCTACACACATTGCGATATTGTTGCCAGCTATTCCAGTACTGGGGCTGGTCACGCCGAAGACTCACGTTCAATTTCCCACAAGGGTACAATGTGTGAAGCCCATTTCTGGTGTTCCCCGCCTCGAAATTGCTGGAATATTGCTAAAAGCGGCGTAAAACTAAACTCACTCACTCACTATTCCCTTGTGAAAATGTTGCTGTTGTCAGGAAGTTTATAAAGTAAAGTAAAATATTTAATAGTTAAATGCAACACCAAATTAGGTCGTCAGATACCATTATTAATTGCGCCAATTAAAGTTGGATACCTTCTTTTGTTTAAACGTAACTTGCAAAAAAAAAAAAACGGTGATCCAAAAGTTAGGTCGACGGACTATAGTTCAAGAACACGATATATTGATTTTAAAATTTATCTGATGCGCGAGTTGACATTGCTTCTACACACTTTTGAAAAGGTATATTCACTTTGATAAAAACGACCGCTATTAACAAAGAGAGAAAAAAACGGAACATTTTCTTTCTTGCAATATATCAACTGAAAATATTCCAAATATTTCGTAGGGTGTTTTAGAGTGTTAAATTGATCACTCACCATCGACGCGATTCTCCATAATCCTTCAGCATTTCGTAGACAACACAAAGCAGATAGTCCTGTCACGTGACGTAGGTAAAACCCGTGCAAATCGGACTTGTAAGTTTCAGGATTAACGCCCAGGGACCTGCAGTCCGTGCAGACCGTGCCCTCGTCGCTCAACACCGACGCGAGAGCCTCAGCGCTGGGGCCGACCTCCGTGTCGCGGTGAACAGTTCGCCATGCATACAATGCAGCTAGTATAATATTGATTGCTAGCGACACAACGAGGACGCCTTTCAACAGTTTTGCCTTGCGAGTGTGTCCAGCCCCCCTCTGCTGTGGGAGGTGTTCCACTTCACAGACTTTTGTGTTCGAGCTCAGAAACACGCCAGATGCACCATCAGACATCTTTTCTTTGCAGGACACCTTGTTCGCAGTGAGGACCGTCATTCTGATACTGCGATTTAATCTTCTTCCTGGTAAAGCGTTTCGTGGAAATATAGGTGAAGGTCAGGTTGACCTAAATGTTTTGCGCTTTTTAGGCGTCAGGTTTATCAGGCAACATAGGAGTTCACTTGTGTGTCTGGACCTCGGCAAGTCACTCAGGCTTTGCAATGCAGTGTCGGGGCGAATCGTTTGTAAACAAAGATGAGGCGATGGATCTATTTATAGAACTGGCCTTTCCAGTCAGAGATTATTCCTCGAGAATTCAGCATTACTGGGAACCGCGTGGTTCTCGGAATTGATTAAGCTGATTTCACTTTAGCGGAGGAGGTCACATTGATATTGTCGTACTGTTCAGCATTGACAATTACAGAGAATGCATGGGAATCGTTTCTTTTACAGGTAGTTTTATCAATACATTTTGTGGCCGGAAAACGATACTACCAAATTCATACATGTTTTGTTATCAGTAATATACTATGTGCGCATACATGTTGAGCACATATAGGTGCGTGATCCACATGCTGAAAATGTCACTATAATTAGTTATATGAATATCATTGGAATATGAAATATGATCAGGGGACGTGCACAGCCGGTATTCATTCCACTTGAGACATGTGTGCAATGATACAAAACAAACAACGTGATAATTATGTGTATGCAGACAGACACACACACACACACACACACACACACACACACACACACACAAAAAAAACAACAACACACACAAACACAAACACACACAAAAACACACACACAAACATATATTTCCTCTGTCAGGAAAGACGTATTCGCTAGTATGGACCGCCCTGTGAGTGAGTGTTAGATTACGCCGCTATGACCGGTGTTTCAGACGGAGACAAGCCACAAGTACCCCGACTTTTGAGGATTGTATGGGGCCATAATGTACGACCTCTTTGTGGCCATTCGCTTACGTCCCGTCTTTTCATCCATTGACTGGCCCATATTCCATTCTCCTCTGGTATAGGGGGCGGTGGGGTAGCCCTGTGATTATAACGTTCGCTCGTCACGTCGAGGACCCGGGTTCGATTCCCCACATGGGTACAATGTGTGAAGCCCATTTCTAGTATAGCCCGTAATAATATTGCTGGAATATTGCTAAAGCGGCGTAAAAAAACCTCACTCACTTATCTGGTATACTTATATTGTGCATATTTTCAATCACAAGGGATAAATATTTCAGTGTATGAAAAGGTAAGGGCTATTATTTACCATGGCGATGTTTTAAAATTTTTGAGTCAAATGTTTGGTAGATAGATATCTTTGGCTAGATTTGTTTACATTTGCTAACATCTAACAGGATGGTTGAAATCCAGCTGCATCCATGCAGGAAGCAAATGTATTGTAAGTCCCCATGGTCCCTAATATGGTGATCTACCTTCAGTTGTTGGCGGTGTATAGCCTATTGTTATAGTCTTCAATATTAAAAGTTGTAGATTTACATACTTGTTTTACATCTATATCAGTGACATTCTAGTGTTTTTTAATGTCCTGTTTTGGCATGGTTTTTTTATAATTTAACTCAATGTATTATGAATGTATTATTTGTTTTAGTCACAGCATTGCTGAAATAAGTCCTGTGTAAGTCATTCACTGTATTTTAGTTCTACCACGTCCAAAGGAAAATTACCCCGGCTTTTCCTGGGGAATCATGACTCAGTGTATCGTGTACATATTTATAGCTTCTCCTAATCGAAGTACACCATTTCCTCGGGAATCAACAGTTCATGAACTATAAAGAGTTTTTTTTACTAGATCCCTCGTGTTATTGAATCTAATATTTAAAATAATCAAATGAGGCTGATGATTTCCTGTGTTCATTCCATCTGTGAGATTAAAAAGCAGTCTTCGGCTGCTCATCTTCAGCCAAAATATGTGACTTGTTTACGCAATATAGATGACCCTGGTGTGGATATATATTGGACTGGTTGGTTAGGTTGGTGCTTAACGCAGCACTTGGCAATATTCCAGCTACTTATATGGCGGCGGTCTGTAAATAATCGAGACAATCCAATGATGACAGCATGAGCATGAAGATACGATGACATGTGTCAACCAGCGAGCCTCATCCCCCGATCCCGTCAGTTGCCTCTTACGACAAGCATGGGTTGCTGATGACCAATTCTAACCTGGATCTTCATTGGTCTGATGTTTAGTAGAACCTATCAAATAAAAGTATTCACATACACATAAAGGAAAATTGTTTTATTTCCACAATATAAACCAATACATTCAGTATGATAAGTGCATATAATTAACCTTGCATGTTGCTTAAAATCATAGTTGCTATGATATTGGTAATCCTTTATAAGGTAAATGCGCTAGCATTTCTTGTCAGATGCTATTTACTAAAACCATAACTACTCATGGAAATATATCATTACATATGTATTATTATATAATTATATAATCAATACAGCATTGACGTAGGCATATACATGCGTAGTTACGTATACATGCAGTTGTCCAAATACAAGATGTTACGTCACAATATAAAAGCATTGTTCACTGTGTACATGTTGTGTGTGTTGTTTAAAGCAAAACTCAGCAATTTTCAATATGGCGACGCTCTGTAAATAATGGGGTCTGGACCAGATAGTCCAATAATTGACATTAGGACCATCCACTCGGATACGATGGCATGCTCCAACCAAGTCAGCGAGTCTGACAATGAGTCACCTATTACGACAAGCATGCGTTGCTGTAGACCAATTTTAACCCTGACCTTGTAACTATGCACATGAGGTATACCTTCGACCACATGATATATGTCCTTGTGAATATGATTCTCTGTGTAAATGACGTATATATTCAAATACAAGTTAGGTTCACAACAGAACAAAATATCCGTATGTTCAAGGCCTTATAGGAATCCGATTAGACAGCGTTCATATCCCTGACACCCCATGCATGATCATTGGTCAGAACGCACATCAGCGATGCTCGTATATGCTGGGCTGCGGCGCTGGACCATGCTGACATGAACTGGGTGGTGGCCAAGTGGATAGAGCATTTGCTCGTCATGACAAAGGTGACGGTTCGAATATCTGCACAGGAATATTGTGTGAAGCCGATTTCGGATATATTTTACCATGATATATATTCATAGCTTAAGACCCCATTTATTTGTTCGGAAAGTGAGATTTCAGTCGCGCTTGTGCGCACAGATGTCTTTTGTGCCAGCCAATCTAATTTATGACAGATCAGGCAAAATAGACATATGGTAGAAGAGTTCACACTGATCAGCACAGAAAGGTTCAATATAACCTAGATATATAAACATTATACACTGAACAGCAAAAAACGCAAGTTACGAAAAAATGAAATCTCATAAAAGTAATCGTTAATTTTATGGGAAGTTCATGATAGGTGACGTAAGGAGCCCAAAAGAGATGATGTCATGCAATTTGACGTCCATACGAAACATTCGCACAAACACACCCACAGAGCAGCAAAACCATAATTTTAGCACGTGCATCGACGGTTCTGGGTTGGAGGCATGCATTTCACTCTGAGGTATCCTTTATAAAGGTATTGACGCTAGAAGGTGTGCACGCCACACAAGCAATGCCTAAAATAACGACTGAGCAGAGGGGATCCGAATGGCCATTGGAAAGTTGCACGGAGGTAGCTTTGCAACTGCTGTAGCTAGACAATTGGGCTGTCATCTTACCACCATTACACCACTTGCTCAACGCCATCAGCAAACCGGGGTTGCTGCTGATCGTTCCAGTACCGGACAGCCACGAGTGACAACTCATTGGACGGAGGATTGCTGCAGGCAAACAGCCACTCACACTTGCACAGTTGGAACAGAGATTGGTATTAGAGTGGAACCACTTGTCTCAGGCATTCTTTCAGGCTCTAGTGAACTCAATGAGGCGACGTTGCACGGCCTGTGCAAGCTCAAGGTGGCTATACGCGCCACTAAGGAGACTGTCACTTTACGCGTATCACCATTTGACAGACTGTAATCAGTTTCGACTTATTGCAATTCAATGTCAACAGCAACTTTCAGCTGTTAAATTGACAGTGTTTTCTGTAGAATAAATGATTAGACATAATTTTGGTTGTGTTCTATTTAAAAACGTGACAAAAAGACAGACTTGCGTTTCTGTTGCTGTTTAGTATATGTAAGGGAAAAAAAGAAAGACAGCGTTGACTATTATATTTTGTTAATCGTTCTTATTATGTAGTTATGATGGTTCCATACAGATAGATGAATACGTGTAACATCGTGCAACTATTTCTGTAGTGTCTCAGTCAACAGTGTGTGTTAGCTGTAGGTGTCTTTTCTCAGAGAGTGGAATACACACAGATAATAATTCATACTCATCACCCTATCGCCAGCTCTCACAATGTTAGACACAAATTTACATTTTAATCACACCGAAATAATTTGAAAGCGTCCTCATCTCAACCACATCATAAACGTTCTCTGACATGGTAACCCGGACGTGGTCTTCTCTGCGGAGTTTCACAATGGCGGACAGAAAAGATGTTTGCTGCGGAGCTGCTGTCCATGTGAGCGATGTTTTACTGAACAGCACGGGTTTCTGCCCCAGGCCTGGCAAGTTCCGGTTCCATCGTTGTATGACGTGCATGAAGGTGTCCTCAGAGGCTGGTGGTGTGTTGAACGTGATATGGGAGTACACCAGATAGGTACCAGCTGCTGGGACGACAATATTTCCATTATCACACACAACGTTTGCGCAAAACGATGTGTTGTAGATATCGCGTCTTGTCCATGATGGCGGTGAATCTGCATTTAGAGTGAATGAGTGAGTTTAGTTTTGCGCCGCACTTAGCAATATTCCAGCTATATGGCGGCGGTCTGTAAATAATCGAGTCTGGACCAGACAATCCAGTGATCAACAGCATGAGCGTCGATCTGCGCAATTGGGATACGATGGCATGCGTCAACCAAGCCAGCGAGCCTGACCACCCGATCCCGTAAGTCGCCTCTTATGACAATCATGGGGGGTTACTGAAGATTAATTCTAACCCGAACCTTCAGAAGTTACTCTAGGTATGAAACTATGAAACAAAGGAAAGTAAGTCCAGATACCAGTGAGAGTGAGTATGTTTTACACCGCTTTTAGCAATATTAAAGCAAGGACACCAGAAATGATCTTCACACATTGTGACCATGTTGGAAATCAAAACCAGGCCCTTTAACGTGACGAGCGAACGCTTTAAACACTAGGCCACATATAACATTTTACAACGATATCAATGAAGAATTTCAAGAATAAATTAATGATATCTTGTCAGCGTATCGTTTACAAAAGGCCATTATTTTAACTAACGCGTTCTTGTAGAACTGTAGATTTACAACCCTTGTAGAACGTTCCTTGAGAGAGACACCAGGAATGGGATTTCTAAACATTATACCCACGTATGGTTTGAACTCGGAACTGGGCGTAAAATATTTGGCTAATGCTTAGTCTTTCAATATACACAATGTTGGTGGAAACAATAATTTCGTTTAAATTAAAAAGAAGCCCCAGGGAGTTTGGACATCCCTAAACCTGAGGAAATCTAGCGTTGCTTCACTCAGGGTTAAGCATTTCTCGAAGGGCTGTGTAGAAGAAAAGTAATGTGGTTCGGGGACTGTGAAACGGACCAGTAAAATATGTACTTAATGAGCATCTGTTTTTACATACCTACGTTGGAATTCTTTGTGTACCTCTGACCCTGAAATATGCAGGACCACGTGCCACCACCACATACACATTATTAGTTAACCTGAAGTGGAATTTTTGTCGCCTTCAGTGGAAAAGGTAGTATCCGGAGCTACATTTCCGTCACACGTTACCTTCTTGAGGAACCATATAAAGGTGAGCCCCTGTTGATCCTCTGTTGATATCCAGCCCGTGTCCTCGCAGCCCCTATCTGATGGCTCCCGTCCTGAAATGTACTGTCAAGTGGTTTAACTGCATTGGAGATTATTTCAATTACTTATTTCAAATATTAGTCGTATATTAATTCGAAAGTCGAAATATTCCAACATTATCACGGCGGTGGACATCATAAATGGGGTCCCCATACTCTACCATTCAGGGAATCGAACCCGGGTCTTAGGTGTTACGAGCGAACGCTTTAACCACTTGCGTACTCAATGAGAATTGAGCATATGCTAACAAGGTGACGCTTACTGTCAGTCAATTTGAAGTTGTGCAATCCCTGTCCTTTACTATTTTGAGTGAATGAGAAGGTTTAGTTTAATTGTCTTGTAATATGGGAGTGGTGATGAGATTAAGGGCGGGGTGTCACGAAAGAATGGCACAGCGAAAGAGGGTGAGGCAAGAACATCTGTGAATTACCTTACCTGTAAGTCGCCTTAGATATTCGTCCGATACGATCTGGAAAAAAATGTTTAGAGTTCGTGGAACACAGCATCGAGTACATTGTGTTCATTTTGTCAGCTAAACAACATGATTTAGAGTCGAATGAGACTGGCTTAGTACGTACTGATGGTCGATATCGTGAACATTAATACGTATGATGACATTACACATTGAAAACAACAGATAATACATTAGAACCCAGACCAACATCCATCAGTGAGAAAATCCCAGCAATATTATGGCAGACCCAATCGAACCAAACCCAAACCTCCGTCGCGACCAGTGACTACTTTGACTACTTGGCTACTCTCCCAAATCTTTAACATTCTGGTGAGTGAGCTCCACATCGTATAAATTGCATGGAAAAGCTAATTCACGGGTTTTGTATGCATGTATGCATGTATGCATGTGTCTCACACCGCGTTAACTATACCACTTTGTTTGGAAACACGAACTTTGACCATGCAGTACAGTCGGTTAAACAACCTGACATGTCAAGGTAAAATATGTGTTTACATTACAACTAGGTCAGAACGCATATCGCCCCACTACCGATAGCACTATTCTTGTGACATAATGCATAACGTCAACAGCTGGTTACAAAAGAGCCTAATGTGTAACTGACAGTAAATTTGAAGCTGACAGAGGATCGTGTGTTGTAGCTGGCCTTGACACAGATAATGTAGAACGTAAACACGGGGTTGTATTGTTGGTTACATGAGTTGCTCTTTGGGAACTAAGTGTGCGTGTGTTTACAAACAAAGCCTCGTGGACAATAAAACTAGGTTACAGTTACGTTTAAAATAACTACACAACTGACTTTACTCAATGTATTGCACCCACTTCTACCACAAAAATCGTCTACTACTACTACTACTACTACTACTACTACTACTACTACTACTTCTACAACAATTTCTACTACTATTACTTCTGTTATAGACGGTACTGTTACTGCTGTTGCTATTGCTACTACTACTACTACTACTACTACTACTACTACTACTACTACTACTACTACTAAGAAGAAGTACGTATCAGAAACGCCATTCCAACAGCATATCATTCAGGAAATTGATGAAAACATTTTCCATAGTTCATATTATTGTGTTAAACGTCCTCTGTCAAACATGAATACAATGTATTGTTTTGTTTCACTGAAGAATAACTGGTTTTAACGATAGAAACTTTGTAATCACAGTGGATGCAATATTTTGAGCAATACTCCCACATGCATGTTAAAGCATACATACTTGGTCAAACTGTTAAAGTGAGTGAGTTTGGTTTTAAGCCGCTTTTAGCAATATTCCAGCAATATCACGGCGGGGGACACCAGAAATGGGCTTCACACATTGTACACGTGTGGGGAATCGAAACCGCGTCTTCGGCGTGACGCTTTACCACTAAGCTACCGCCCCTAAAACTGTTAAAACAAAAACTTACCAAACGTATTATGCATATTCCCTTTCTAGTAACAAATAATCACCTTTTTGAAAACCTTGGTGATGCCATTATTCTGTCTCTGACAACAAAACGTGTGTCCAGAAGAGAGTCGTATGACGCCATAGAGAGTGTCTTTGGATTCGATCAGCGGACCCAGTTGATCACAGGTGAAACAGACTTCGGCTGTGTCCACGTGGCTAAGCGAATGTGAGAATCCCCCTGCACTGTTCTTAAGAGAGTCACGAGACGTCCTTAGTGTTTGGGCGGTAACCACGACAACCAGTAGAATGTTTCCAGTGAGCGATACAGTGATGATGGCGTAAAACAAACCTCCTGGATGACGTCGCTGGCGTGACGGCGATGGACATGACGTTGTGTCCGCTGCAGATGACGTTGTGTCCGAGGGCAGCAACGCAGATTCAGGCTCGCACATTTTCTGGGAATATACGTGTCGATGATAAGCATAGGTCTAATCCACACGTGCAGTTAATCTAACATTGGTGATTACATTTGTGTTATATCCTCTCGTTAACCGCCATGTAAAATGTATGTTCACTACTACACAACAAAGACGGTGGTAGCGTAGCTTTGAGATATCACACAGACTGGCTCATTAATCATTGATCAAGAGACGAAAGCAGGTTTACATTACCCACACTGCAACACATAGTTCCCTGAAACCATTACTTCACTATTTCCATGAAGCAACGAAGACCTACTTTCTCTTTCCTTCTACCAGTGCAGAAAACGAAACGACAGGTGTATGTTCTGCTTCGTCTCTCCCATTGCAACCTTGACGATTCATGTTTCAATTCACTGCATCTGACTACAGTTTTCACCACTCATGCGTAATGTCGAACGTTTGCACATCATGACTGTGTCGCAATTTGCAAGTTCAGGTCCATTTCACAAATTTTTTTTGTCCAATGCAAGGACAGTTCAGGTGCATTTGATAAAATGTGTCTGACTTGAGTACAGTTCAGGTCCATTTGATAAAATGTGTCTGACTTGAGTACAGTTCAGGTCCTTTTTATATAAAGTGTCTGACTTGAGTACTGTTTGGGTCCATTTTATAAAATATATCTGACTTGAGTACAGTTCCGGTCCATTTTATAAATGTGTCTGACTTGAGTACAGTTCAGGTCCATTTTATAAAATGTGTCTGACTTGAGAACAGTGCAGGTCCATTTACAACCTGATATATGTCAGATAACTGATCTGTTCAGTGCCCTTTTATAAACCGTGAACATGTATGTCTTATTTAGTATGAGTTATGTGGACAACGTCGTCGCCGAACATTTGCACCTCGTGCGTCTGGTTTAGTCACTACAGGTCGATTTTACAACGTTACGACTAATGCTTTGACAGTTTAGGTCCATTTCACAACTTTATGTGTCTAATGCATTTGCAACATACGTTATATCTTTGATTACACTCTCTTAGTAAAGTACGGATTCTATTACTTTTGTTGGGTTGAGTCCAACATCTTTCACTTATCAGAGGGGTACACAAAGTCCTTGGTCTGACTAACAGTTGTCCGACCTCCATGTTGGTGGAAGTTGCGATGGCTGAGTGGGTTGGACTGCTGACCTTGTGTGATGGCGATTAGGTGCCTGACTCTGACGGTGTGGGTTGGAATCCCGGATATGATTCAACCCTACCCAAGTACTAGAATCTATACTTGACTAAAAAAGTGCAACCCCAAATATAACATATGTTACGTTTGACCATTTTTAAATGGTATTGTGTTATCATAATTCATTTGCAACATATAACACAAATTTTAAATCAGAACATGATGTACATCTTCATACAAAGTAACAACTGCGTGTTACACAGAAAAACAGAAGCATGGTGAAAACACATTGGTCTGAGATGTACTTGTGATGTTATCAAAATTTATCAGAAGAACACATGTATAAGCAATTGGTCAGACACAGTTTGGGTTTCCGAAATACTTAAAGGAATAAGGAACATATGGAGATTCATTGATACGTATCCTTATACAAATTTAAGTTACATTGGTATTAAAAGTTTTGAAACGTTTTGATTTTGTGATAAACTTGTGGATTGATTTTTTTTTAAATCATATTTTTAAGCGTAGTCAAATATGTTTCCATTTATAAGGGATTCAAGGTTATAGCCAATGGATTAGAAATACATGTTATCTGTGTATACTTTACACGCGTAAAGAGTGAGTTTTAGTTTTACGCCGCTTTTGGCAATATTCCAGCTGTATCACGGCGGGGGACACCACAAATGTGCTTCACATATTGTACCCATGTGGGGAATCGAACCCGGGTCTTTGGCGTGACGAACGAACGCTTTAACCACTACGCTACCCCATCGCCTCTACACGCGCACAGAAGTAGTGTTAAGTCTTTTCGGTGTAATACCGCAGGAACAGTCCGATATATGTCTATTATACAGGTCAGCGTTGAGGTCACTACAATCGAGCGTACGTTAGTCTGTGACACACTTGTGTCTATTGTTGTTAATGTGTTAGACCTGTTAGGGTACTCACCACAGCCTACTTTATATCTCGTGGCAGAAATGATGTCAGACAACAGACATATTCCATACACGTCTCTGGCACAATGTTTCCAGGAATTTGGTTTCCAGGTTATAACAGATGTATTCTATACACGTTTTTGGTACAGCGCTTCTGGGAATCTTGTTTCCTTTGCATTTCTTAGAATATCGAAAGTGAAAGTAGATAAAGATGATGCATTTGGTAACCATAGGCTTTGAACACACACATTGCGATCAATATCTGTGTTGCAACTCCATGTTGAACAATACACAATTTGCAAACATAGGGTATACAGATCATATTCAAAATAGAGAGTATTGCTTCGCCCTGGCACGAGCGGAAAAAATAATCATTCGTTACGTTATCTTTGAATTCGCCAGAACATAACAAAAATATAAAACGGATGGGGCCAAACAGATTTATTGCACCTGAACACAAACGTGGATAATTGAAACATTGTTTATTTCAGAATGTACTTTGTACATGTCACAGTCAAGAATACCAATGACCTGAATTACGAGGAAGCCATGCTTTTTAAGGAAGTTGGACAGTTTATAAATAGGTACATCCTGGTCGGACATGTGTATCAATTAGTAGTCATGGTGAGTCTTACAAATTTCCCCAAATTCACTCTGACAATAAAGTTTCCAGTTTTGATATGATATCTTTGCTCGTTATTATTATTTATCATTGGATTATGTTGGTAAATATTTATGAAACGGAACTGAGTAATAGCGTGTTGGTTATACCCAGTAATGAAATGGATGGTGTGTGTGTGTGTGTGTGCGTGCGTGCGCGTGCGTGCGTGTGTGTGTGTGTCTCCACTCACCATGAGTTCGAATCCCATGTTCATCCTGATCATTCTTGTATGAAACGACCTACAACCATTGCTGGTGTGTGTTATCAACGTATTGAATTACTTGCCCTACTTCGGGATTCTTCAATGAAGCTGACACGAAATTCAACAACTTGTAAATAATCGAGTCTAGACCAAACAATCCAGTGATCACGGAGCGGATATGACTCAAAAAAGAAAACCATTTATAAAGATTAAATTTTATTGGTTATATTATTTCAATGTTTAACTCGGAATTTTACATAAACGGCAATCATTATGTACGAAAATTACTCACATACGGCATCATGCACTATAATATAAGACTGACTGACTGAGTTTGGTTTTACGCCGCTTTTAGCAATATTCCAGCTACATCACGGCGGGGAACACCAGAAATGGGCTTCACACATTGTGCCCATGTGGGGATTCGAACCCGGGTCTTCGGGGTGACTAGCCAACGCTTTAACCAATGAGGCTACCCCACCGCCCCTGTAATGAGAGAGAGAGAGAGAGAGAGAGAGAGAGAGAGAGGGAGAGAGAGAGAGAGAGAGGAGAGAGAGAGAGAGAGAGAGAGAGAGAGAGGGGGAGGGTGGGAGAGAGAGAGAGAGACGCACTCTTACAGTGTAATCTTGAACGTGGCGTTAAACCACTTTTCACCCAACCTCAGAGTCTAAATAAACCCAGGTAGTTTGAAAACCTGCTCTTTTCGACTAGATCATAATACTCATCCAGTATATATACGCTGATGACATCGTGTTCTTTTAGTTTCAAAACGGCAGAGAGAAACGAGGTTCGCCGAGGGGAATCTGTCCCTGTGATTGAGACCTTGCTTATCAGCAACGGGACCGTGTTTTCCCCGTTCCGATGTATCCGGTGAGTGAAGATAGTGTCTCGGGTTACGTTAAGCGTTATGTGCGAGTATACGAGGTACCTCCCTGCGCCTGGAACTCTGATCGTTCCGTTATCACACACGACATTGGCACAATACGACATGCTGTAGTCATCGTAGATGGTCCATGCTGGTTTCGAGCCTGGAAAATACAAAGACGTTAGAACTATCTTTGGCCAGACGTTAGAACTATCTTTGGATAGTTTTGACATTGGTTGTGTATTTTTCACAGACGTTAAATAATGTTCATAGTAGAAGGATAAGTATGTTGGGTTTAAATTTGATCAGTACTACTATCTGCATTTTAGGAGTTGTGACCTGCAACAAAGGCAGGCAACTTTATAGGTAACAACTTGTATATTCTATTAGTGCGACTGTTTTGGAAACAAATTCTACATTCAATTATAATGCGACTTTATGGGTAAGAGCTTCCACTATAATGCGATTTTGAGTCTTGCAACTTCAACATTTTAATATAATGCGACTTTATGGGTAACAACATGATCTACATTCTACTATAATGCGACTTTATGAGTAACAACTTCTACATTCTACTAGAATGCGACTTGATGGGTAACAACATAATCTACATTCTACTATAGTGCGACTTTATGGATAACAACATAATCTATATTCTATTAGAATGCGACTTTATGGGTAACAACTTCTACATTCTACTATAATGCGACTTTATGGGTAAAAACATTATCTACATTCTACTAAAGTGCGACTTTATGGGTAACAACTTCTACATTCTACTATAATGCGACTTTATGGGTAACAATATAATCTACATTCTACTAGAATGCGACTTTATGGGTAACAACGTCTACATTCTACTATATTACGACTTTATGGGTAACAACCTCTACATTCTACTATAATGCAACTTTATGGGTAACAACATAATCTACATTCTACTATAATGCGGCTTTATGGGTAACAATTTTATAGTGCATTTATTTCTGACACAACAAGAACAAGAACAGTGTCAGTTACATATACGGATTTCCTTTGTTAAGAATAATTTGTGAAAAATATAAAAAAAATTCAAGAAATATGTGCACTACAATAACAGCATACAAAAGACGTTGTCGTCCATGTCATCTGACCATACTGATGCAAATCCGACAAACTAACGACACATACACGTATATACCGCAGGTCCTCGTGTCTTTGCGAGGATTAAATATGTTAAAAAAATATAAACAATTGAGATGACCCCTGACTCGAAATGCTTCACAGTACAATACATTATGACAAGGCCGAGCACTTCGGTGTACCCTACCCTTTTGCTTTGCCGATCACTATGCTACCATCGAAAGCAATCGATCTAAACTTAATTTAACATAATAGTATGGATAACTGGCCTATAGATCACCACTAATAACACCCACCAATTCTTTATTGTTATTTTTGCAAGTCGATTGAAACCCGATTTTGACTCTCAACTAAACGATCTTGACACAAATGGATGACGATATATCCGCACAAAATGGGGGTGTGGTCGAAGCAAGCCCTCTGGTTAGTGTTGAATAGACATTTACATCTGATGCTTTCTTTTGAGAAGCCATTGCTCGAAAATTATTCTTACATTAAGCAGCCGATGAAAGAAAAAAATCCCGTGAATTTATGTGTTGACCAATCAGCAGGCTTGCTTCAACCACACCCCCATTTGTGCGGATATATCGTCATCCATTTGTGTGCATTTCGAGTCGGGGGTATTCTCAAAAACATTTTTTTAATCTTGAATCTTCGCAAAGACACGAGGGCCTGTGGTATACAGTTGCATTTATAATTAAAGGAGGAATGCCTAGTGGTTAGAGCGTTCGCTTGTCACGTCGAAAATCGGGCTTCGATTCTTTACATGAGTAGAAGGTATGAAGCCCATTTCTGGTGTCCCCCGCAGTGATAGTGCCGGATTTTTGCTTAAAACGGCGTAAAACCTCACCCACTCATACTTGAATGCATGGACTCAAATTTATGCTTCGAAATTAAGGTCTGAGAGATTTATCGAGTGTCAATACTTCTTGGCCCGCGGCGTGGCTGTACCTTTGATTGGAACCATGTCGAGGTGGGCGCCAGTGGATCCAATGTTAATGGTTTCATAGAAGACATTCAGCATAGCAGGGGAATTCAACTGGTCCGACCCTGAAAATAGAATTGCACATTACACAACAATCTGCAGTTGATGACTCCAGGCATTTGTTTCATTTAAAGATGATATATTAATCAAACACAGTTAAACACCAAAATTTGCAAGGTTCAGTGCAGCAATACTCCGACCGATTGCAGGCGTATGAAAAAGTGTGCGGTGTTGTGTTTTTCGAGTATATACAATCTCGGTAGCAGCAATAGCATGACGTCACGATGACCAGTGCCTCAATCAAGGCGCATATATGTGCATATGATACTTTTAATAGGTTCTGCCTGAATCAATCGAATTATAATCGATGCAAATGAAACAATCTAACCACGATACATCGATGAAATTTTGTTAACCTATTTGTGGTTCATGCTTCAATGATTTCATCTAATCATGGCACATTGAATTAAATGTTTCAGTCTATTAATGACTGATCCATGTAAATAATTCAATCTTTTCATGAAACATCAAGCTAAATGTTTCAGATCATGACATATAACATGTGACGAGGGTTAGGTATTCCTCTATCAACAAAATATGTTAACATATATTTAATTTATTAATGTATTGAACTCAAGACGGTGTTAACTGTTTGAGGAATACATGTTATACTTGGACACATGTCACAACAGCTTCATGTAACTACGGTGAACTGTGTTGATGTAATAGCTTAACAAACCTGCAATTCGTCTGTTGAGTTCGTCAATGATCATCTGAAATATATAGCACAGCCATTCAATAACAGAATATGCATACAAACACACGCACAAACACACACACATACATGCACATCCACACGCATGTACATCCAGGCATTATCGTGCGTACATACATACGTACGTACAGACAGACAGACAGATATATGCATGTGCGCATGCAAGCACACTCACACATACATACATATGCACGTGTGTGCACTCACGCACACTCACACATTTATACATTCATACATACACACATACATGTACACACACAAGCATGTGCATCCAGTCATGATCGTGCGCACAGACAGACAAACATATGCACGTGCGCACGCACGCACACTCACACATACAGACATACATATATATGCACGTGCGAACGCATGCACACTCACACATACATACATTCATACATACTCACATACATGCACACACACACACGCATGTGCATGCAGTCATGATCGTGCGCACATACATAGATATGTACGTACGTACGTACGTACACACGCACACACACACATACAGACATACATACATACATACATATGCAGGTTCGCACACTCTCTCTGAAACAAGCCTGAACATTCGTGTTTCGATACAACTGCCTACCTTCTTGAATGCTTCCCTGACCTCAGTATTACTTCTTTGACAGCATAGCTGATGCGAGGAGGTCCGAATGATGTTAGTGTCCAGTGATTCGACCATCGGACCAAACTGATCACAAGTAAAACACATATCATGACCCCCATGATCAAGCTGACCAGAAGATACGTCCGACTTCTTCTGGTGGAATGACCCTGGGTTTTGCATGTGTACGCTGAAAAGCACAGCTAAAGCCACATTGACAGACACGGAGAAGGCGAAGACGACGTAGAACAAACATCTGGGACTACGTCGTCGTGAAGGTGGAGTCTCCAACGGTGTCGTGTGGTTGGGGATGAAAGTAGATTCAGACCCTGACATTCTTCGATATTTACGTTAATAAGCTTACAGTCAACAGTACAGCTTATTTTATCTGGACAGTTTTTCAGTTATAAATGACAACAGAAATCGTCTTCTAACTAATGCCACAACAAATCACCTGTCTCTGCCTTGTCTCGGTCACAGTGAAACTAAATTGAGACTTTTACATTTGCTGTTTATTGATTTTGGGAATCTCCAGGATGATCTCACATCCATGTTTATCTTCACTGCTCTGCCCTGGTGGAATTCCCTGGAGTTATTTTCTCTTCCTTTTCAGAGACTCATACAGACCCAGTGATGACTCAGTATTCTCCAACTTCCTCCTATGTCGCTGTCTTTCCCTGATCTTCCTGGTGGGTATTCCGTTTTTTAATATATCTCCAGCAATATATGTAATTGGTAGTAGTAACCGACAGCAAAGATCTGGCTATCAGGCTTGGTGACTTTTGTTCACATGCTTATCATTTAAATCTATGGGTGGTTAATTGGTCTTAATATCCATGGATTGTCTGGTACAGGTAAATAACAGACCGCCGTCTTGCACCTGGAATATTGCAAAGTGCGGTGTAAAACATAAACAATATTCTCATATAGTAGGTGTCCCTCTGACAAGGAGGTGGTGCAGCATGGCGGTTAAAGCCTTCGAGTCCCCACATGGGTACAATGTGCGAGGCCATTTCTTGTGTTCCCAGCCCTGATATTGCTGGAATATTGCTAAAAGCTGAATGAAACCCAACTCACTCACTCACTCACTGTTTTGTAACACCTACTCGAATCAATATACGGTAGGCCAAGTTCAATAAACAGTATTTCACCCACCGCCTTGAATGTTGTAGGGACCACGCCCTGGCGAGTCAAAACAATCCCAAAGTGACCTTGTCAAGGTGCCAGTCCACAAGCCAGAGATCCTAACAAATGTCATGTTTTGCCTTTTGATGAATGCAGTGAGTACTGAGATAATGTCGAGTGTCAGACAGGGAAACAACAAGTACCATAAATTAAGGCATTTTGGTATCATGCGGCCAGGGATCGAACCTCTGACCATTCTCTTTTCAGGTTCGCTGATTTGGTTGACATATGTCATAGTATCCCAATTACGAATATCAATGCTCAATCTGGTCCAGACTCGATTATTTACAGACCCTGCCCTATAGCTGGAATATTGCTGAGTGCTGCGTTAAACATCAACCAACCAATGAACCAACCGATCTCTTTTTAACAGGGGAGTAGAGATTAGCTAAGTATGGGTCGTCAGTGCCAGTAGGCAGCAGGCAGGACTCTCCCACGCTTTTGCAAAGTTTCATGGTTTATTCTACTCATATTAAGAAAACTTCAATGACCCAAATCTTGCTTGTGATGCATGGAGCATTTCGATATGCAATGATCATGGAAATATCAACAGTGGTGAACTTTGTGACAGTTTTAGTCCATGTGTATATTTTACTATTCACAAAAGGACCTACCAGTGAGATCACCCAAGCTGACTATATCCACCCAGTGAACTCCATTGATATCATGGCTACCAAACAGAGGATGACATGCAAAAGGGACAAGCTGCTGTGATTGAGGCCCGACAGCCCAGTAGGCTTACATCACAACACCTTATGTAACACCCTACAGACACCCCCAGTCTGGCTACAGCACAGTCAGACAGCTGGGCTTACATCACAACACCTTATGTAACACCCTACAGACCCCCAGTCTGGCTACAGCACAGTCAGACAGCTGGGCTTACATCACAACACACCTTATGTAACACCCTACAGACCCCCAGTCTGGCTACAGCACAGTCAGACAGCTGGGCTTACATCACAACACACCTTATGTAACACCCTACAGACCCCCCAGTCTGGCTACAGCACAGTCAGACAGCAGGGCTTACATCACAACACACCTTATGTAACACCCTACAGACTCCCTCAGTCTGTCTACAGCACAGTCAGACAGCAGGGCTTACATCACAACACACCTTATGTAACACCCTACATACCGCCCAGTCTGGCTACAGCACAGTCAGACAGCTGGGCTTACATCACAACACACCTGATGTAACACCCTACAGACCCCCCGGTCTGGCTACAGCACAGTCAGACAGCTGGGCTTACATCACAACACACCTTATGTAACACCCTACAGACCGCCCAGTCTGGCTACAGCACAGTCAGACAGCTGGGCTTACATCACAACACCTTATGTAACACCTACAGACCCCCCAGTCTGGCTAGCACAGTCAGACAGCTGGGCTACTACAACACACTTATGTAACACCCTACAGACTCCCCAGTCTGGCTACAGCACAGTCAGACAGCTGGGCTTACATCACAACACACACCTTACAGACACCCCCAGTCTGGCTACAGCACAGTCAGACTCCCAACAGTCTGTAACACCCTACAGCACAGTCGGACAGCTGGGCTTACATCAAAACACACCTTATGTAACACCCTACAGACCCCCCAGTCTGTCGACAGCACAGTCAGACAGCTGGGCTTACATCACAACACCCCTTATGTAACACCCTACAGACTCCCCCAGTCTGTCTACAGCACAGTCAGACAGCTGGGCTTACATCACAACACACCTGATGTAACACCCTACAGACACACACACACACAAACACTCACACACACACCCAGTCTGTCTACAGCACAGTCAGACAGCTGGGCTTGTGCGTTAAGAAGAAGGCAAAGAGGGGCTGTAGAGGTGGACGCAACAAAGTACGAAAGATAAGTGTTTTTCAGTCATCAACTACCCCCTCAAGTGTCAAAGGGGTGTCAACAAATCGAATCTGATCACTGTTCATCCAATGCCCGCTCGTAAACACATTGGTGTTGCCCTACTGAACTCACAATCAGCGAGAAACAAAACTAATGACATTGCTGACTTAATCTTGGATGAAATCCTGGATATACTGTTTCTGACTGAAACGTGGTTATATGATACTGGTGATGAGGGGCTTGTCTCTGATATGACACCAGATGGTTATTCATTTAAACATGTAGCCCGGACAGGAAGGGGTGGTGGTGTCGCTATGATCCACAGAAACAGTTTATGTATGCATTCGGTTACATCTCTTGATGTTTACACATCCTTTGAACATCTTAATGTGAAGATAATTTTGTTCAATACAACCATAAGGGCTATATGTCTATATCGCCCACCACCTTCTGCCAAAACAAGCTCAGTCATTCTGATTTCTATAATGATCTTGCCCGTCTTTGGGCATCGTCACCAAAAGAAAACACTATTTACATTGGCGATTTTAATGTGCACTTTGATGACGACAAGAAACCAGGCGTGCAGAAAATAAAATCACTTTTATCTTCCCATGGTCTTACACAGCACATTTGTCAACCATCCCATAGATCAGGTCATACCTTAGATTGGCTTATAACGTCCAGAGACAATCTCATAGACAGTGTTCGAGTTGAGGACAAACTTATATCTGACCACCATGCTGTGTTTGCTGTGTTGAATATGGAGAGTCCTGATTTGGAGAAATCAATCCGATCATGCAGAAATCTTAAAACTATTGATACAAATACATTTTCCCCCTACCTCTCGCAGACCCTCACGTCTGAGTCCAATAGAGGTGATGCATCTGACTTGACTCAACATTACAACACTGCTCTCCGTACAGTGCTGGATAAACATGCTCCAGTCAAACAGAGAACATTCATACGCAAACCAGGATGTGCTTGGTATTGTGAGGCTGTACGTGAAGCCAAACGTCTCAGACGTCGTGCTGAACGGACGTGGAGAAAAACTAAATTAGTTGTACACCGTCAGATATATCAGTCACTTCGAAATAAGGTCTCAAAGACGATAGAGCACAGTAAGAGAGAATTCTACAGACAGAAAATCTCCAGTCTCCAAGGCAATCCACATGAGATTCAAAAACCTTTAAATTCTATTTACGGCAAAAAAGGTGAAGATATACTTCCAGATATTTCAGATCCTGTTGCTCTCGCAAAGTCGTTTAATGAGTAGCCACTGTTCTTTAAAGACAAGATCCTCGATAGCAGACAACGTCTGTCCTGTCGTGTCACTGATCAGCTGCATGACCAGCAATCTGTGTTCCAAGGATCGCCTCTCCTTGATTTTCAACCCTTTTCTTCATCTGATGTGAGATCCCTTATCATGGAATCGAATAAGACCACTTGTGCGTCTGACCCTATGCCAACACGGCTTGTTGTGGATCATTTAGATTGTCTACTTCCGGTCATCACAAATATCATAAACACAAGTATTTCAACTGGCATATTTTCTCAATCTTTGAAAAATGCAATAATCAAGCCTTTGATTAAAAAACTGCAAATTGGACAGTTCAGAACTGAAGAGCTATCGACCTGTGTCGAATTTGTCATTTCTGTCGAAACTGATTGAAAAGGCATGATCCCATGACCTACTCAATAGATTCCAGTTGGCATATCGTCCACATCATTCCACAGAAACCCTTCTCCTAAGATTGGTAAATGACTTGAGAAATATTCTGGATTCCGGGAATTTGGTCGCCCTTGTGTTGATTGATTTGAGTGCAGCGTTTGACACTGTAGAACACGAACAGCTATTAGAAATCCTAGATTTGCAATTTGGAGTGAGAGGAACTGCTTTGAGGTGGTTTCAGTCTTATCTGAGAAGTAGGAGCCAAGAAGTGTCAGTTAAGGGTGTTACTTCACCGAGACTTGAGTTAACCTATGGAGTTCCTCAAGGGTCGGTCCTTGGACCGATTCTGTTCCTGCTTTATGCGAACTCACTACCAGCAGTTATCAACAAGCATGGTTACATCCACTATAGATATGCAGATGACACCCAGGTCACTACCAGCTGGAGACGGAGCTCACTTCTGTCAGACATTCAGATTGTGGATGACTGTGTGTCTGACATAAAGAGATGGATGACATCTAGAATGCTGCAGCTCAATGACAGTAAGACTGAACTGTTGATAGCCGGCAGCCATAGGCAGCTGCAGGGAGTATCAGTCTCTGGTGTCAAGGTGGCACCCTCTGTCATTCAACCTTGCTCTGTTGCCAAACACCTTGGTGTGTACATAGACTCATATCTCCTACTCGATGCCCTCATTAACCATCTACGTAAAGCCTGCCATCACCACCTCAGAGTCATTAGCTCAA